TAACAAAGTTTTAGCTTATTGAAGAGAATATAAAGATATTTTAGTGGCAAGAATTATAATGTTATAACGTCGAAGTCTATATGCGTGAATCGATACGGCACTTATCAATTACTTTACCGCTTGCGGTTAAAACGTGTGGAATAACCGTAAATACGAGACTTCCCAATACGATAGCAAATCTCAAAACAAGTTTTAATACTTGAATTAATTTCTAGCGTCTGCCTTCGCTCACGTTTTGTATCACCACCAGTCCCGTCGGTAAAGTTTTAATTCCCGGAATAAAAATTACATAATATGTATAATTGAAGTGGGCGGGACACGTAGCGCGACTGCAAGACGAGAGATGGACAAGAACAGTGGCCTTATGGACCGGCCCTCTTGGTAAGCGCTGCAGAGGTAGACCGTTTACGAGATGGCAAGACAAGATTGTCAAGACAGCTGGACATGATTGGATACAGAAAGCTCAAAATGGAGAACAATGGAAATCTTTGGAGGAAGCATACACCCGAAGAGGGATTCTTGAAAACAAACCATATTAAACTTAACACACATTTAAACTGGAAATTTATATAAGCAGAATATTAGTTAGAAATATTACGTTAACCTACGCCTACCTAGCTTAACAACAAGATTAATGTTATTTAAGACTTTTTCTAAGAAATATAAGGCTTTTTTATTTTATTTATTTATGTATAATTGAATTTGCAAAGATTAGCTTCTTTAGAAAAAAACTTTTAGACTATTTTCAACAAGTAAGAAAAAACTTTTTAACAAAAAAATAAAAACCGACTTCAAACAAAAGCACTATAAAAAATAACTGATTGGTAGTTTTCATTTACTATACATACCTAATCAAATATTTTCGATGTCGGTGTGCTTTGCTTTGTATGGGCTGGCACCGATTTCGAAAATATTTGATTAGGTATGTATTTAATAGGTAGGCTTTAATTACTTAGCCAAAGCACACCGACTTCGAAAATATTTGATTAGGTATGTATAGTAAATGAAAACTACCAATCAGTTATTTTTTACTTTTTAGTGCTTTTGTTTGAAGTCGGTTTTTATTTTTTGTTAAAAAGTTTTTATTTTTTCCTTTTTAGTGTAGACAGTAGTAGCAAAGTAAGGATTCTAACGTGTTAGGCTTGTCAAACCAAACAAAATAAGCCCAAACTCAAAGTATCTACTATTAGCCGTTGAAGAGTGCCACCTATCCACCTTCTGGCCTTGCCATCAGATCAGGTCAACAGCACCGAACCACTGTACTATCAACGGAAATAGAAATACTTGCAAAGTTTCAAGTCAATATGACAATTAGAAGTAGGTTAAATTCATCATTAGTTGTTTTTCCACCCTTAGGGGTGGTATTTTTTTTTTTGAAATTTAAATGGGACCAATCTGGAAGTATATCCTTTCAAAGAAAACAAAAATTGTCCAAATCGGTTAATAAATGACGGAGTTCTGAGGTAACAAACATAAAAAAAAACATACTGTCGAATTGAGAACCTCCTCCTTTTTGAAGTCGGTTGAAAAGTTACATAATTAAGAAATTGTAATTCAACATACCATTTAATTCACATTAGGTAATTAGATAACATATCATATAACATATGAATTGATAAGATATATAAAAAAAAATAAACAATAAGATAAATCACACAACTTATAAAACCGATAAAATTAAAGTGGATAAAACAGAAAACATAAATGTTTCTTCTTAGTTATTTATAAGTAGCGACACGGTAATATTACATACATATACATTACCGTGGTAGCGATACACCCTCGCACTGCTCGGGTTCGTTTTAACGTTTAGTATAAATTTCTCAGAGATGAGATACTTTCCTGCAGTTTTCTCGTGATGCGTTGCCAGATAGACAGACAAAAATTCTAAAAACTATAGATTCAGCCTCTGTTTCCACAATAATGACTACTTCAATAAGATGTTCCAAAAAATATTTAATGTACAGATTTGACTCAGAATTTTATTTTATGTACAAATATAGATGGTGTTTTGAATTCAATATGAAATGAATATTTCCACACATTTGTCCAACACAAGAATTAAATCTATGATCTTTGATCATATCTTCAACTGCCAGTAATGAATATGGGGCGAGATTTATTACTGAATTATTGTACACAATATTAACTTACTGATAATAGCACTGCTAATAAATAATTTGATTAGATTATCAACTAACTGATTATGAAACATGCATTAAATGTTTACATAATATATGTACATATTTGTATGTATTTAGTCCTATTTAACGTCCCACTGCTGGGCACGGGCCTCCCATCAACACGAGGGGGATCAGGCCATAGTCCACCACGCTGGCCAAGTGCAGGTTAGCGGACTTCACATGTCTTTCGAAAACTTACTAGGTTCTCTCAGACATGCAGGTTTCCTCACAATGTTTTTCCTTCACCATAAGGCAAGTAGTGGCAATCATGCAAGACCCAAGATTTGAACCCGCTTCACTCGGTTTACCAAGCGAGCGCATTACCATTAGACCACCACTGTCATAATATATGTATTACTAGTTTTTGCACCTAGCTCTACTTGCATGGTAAGAGGAAAGTAATAAAATGTAACTTAACTGCTCCCACAATGCATTTTATGTCATGGCCAAATTCAATCAAAATCTGCTCAGTACTTTAAGAGGGAAAAGATAATAAACAGGTAGACATAATTGTTCTCACATTTATATTATTTATATACATTTACTTTTACTTATCTTGTTGGTGACTCTTATGAAAAATATGAGTATAAAATAGCCTCCTTAATGCTTTCTATTATTATTTTTAGTGAAATATTTTCAATAATCAAATGAGCTGCTCTTAAAATTATCTAGCATAGAAATGAGCCTATTTTGCTTTTTAATATGGAAAGTAAGTGGTGAAGCAAATCACCTTCGATAGCTATTTTAGTGGAATGTATTTTCACTGTTTGGGATGTCTTACAAGCAAGAAGGTGTATAACATAAGGCAGGTGAATGTTTTTGTAGGTTGCACTTTAGTATATGAGTCATAGACCACCACTAGTACACAAGTGGAAAGGTATGTATATGGCTTACTGCTATGTGAGACATTGATCTGTTATAATATATAATTATTAAACTATGCCGAAAGATGGCATTACCACTTTTAATAATAATATAATATTTCAAAATTTTGGTATTTGTAACAACTAAAAGTGAAGCATATAAAAGAAATAAACTATATATTTTTCTTCTTTGTCAATCAATATTATTAATATGAAATAAAATCCAAAGAAGTTTACATTTTGTAATAATTATATATAAAATCTAAAGATTTTTTACAAAATATAAAACATAAGATGGGCCATGTACATGACTACTAAATAAATCATGTACAAATATGGCTTATCTCTTTAAAAGATTGAATATATTTAATGTGTAGAACATACTTATATGGTAGTGTGTGATAATGTGATAAACATTGAGTCATACACACCTATTGATTCATATATGGTATTTAGTTATATATAACCAAAAAATATTGGATGAAAGGATTTTACATATTTCATAAAAACCGACTTCAAACAAAAGCACTAAAAAGTAAAAAATAACTGATTGGTAGTTTTCATTTACTATACATACCTAATCAAATATTTTCGAAGTCGGTGTGCTTTGGCTAAGTAATTAAAGCCTACTTATTAAATACATACCTAATCAAATATTTTCGTAATCGGTGCCAGCCCATACAAAGCAAAGCACACCGACTTCGAAAATATTTGATTAGGTATGTATAGTAAATGAAAACTACCAATCAGTTATTTTTTACTTTTTAGTGCTTTTGTTTGAAGTCGGTTTTTATTTTTTTGTTAAAAAGTTTTTATTTTTCCCTTTTTAGTGTAGACAGTAGTAGCAAAGTAAGGATTCTAACGTGTTAGGCTTGTCAAATCAAACAAAATAAGCTCAAACTCAAAGTATCTACTATTAGCCGTTGAAGAGTTCCACCTATCCACCTTCTGGCCTTACCATCAGATCAGGTCAACAACACCTAACCACTGTACTATCAACGGAAATAGAAATACTTGCAAAGTTTCAAGTCAATATGACAATTAGAAGTAGGTTAAATTCATCATTAGTTGTTTTTCCACCCTTACGGGTGGTATTTTTTTTTTGAAATTTAAATGGGACCAATCTGGAAGTATACCCTTTCAAACAAAACAAAAATTGTCCAAATCGGTCAATAAATGACGGAGTTCTGAGGTAACAAACATAAAAAAAAAAAAAAAAAAAAAAACATACAGTCGAATTGAGAACCTCCTCCTTTTTGAAGTCGGTTGAAAATGATTGAAAATAATAATTAAACACTATAGGAACTGACTGAAAGAGGGTTGTTGTGAAGCTTAATTAAAATTTGGAAGAATTATATTCTGGATACCTTAAGAATACACTCAAGAGGAACTCTAAAGTTAGATAGCGACTCTAAAGGAATAAAGACCTGCCAAGATTAAAAAAACATAAAGATTTCTTTCTTAAGATAAGAAAGTTTAGAAGAGTAAAAAATTAAAACATGCAGAAAAAGTCAATGTGACCAGTAATTTCATTAACTTTTTTTACATAACTTTAGTTGAAAATAATAATACATACATGATTTTCCACGATAAAATTATCTTTTAAATGTTATCCTTTAATGTATGCAAAACAAGTTTGTAAAGAGTCAATTGAGTTTGTATCTATCTGACACAAGGCTAACTGCTCATGAAGAAGGATACAGCATAACTGATGATTTAACTCCAATTCATCCTTTTGTGATTTAATATTTTATGATGTTAAGGAAATTTGTATGTATTTTCCTTTAATCGAAATATTACTATGAATCGTTTACAAAATATATATTTACCATTTTGTTATGAATATATGAAGTCTAAGGAGAAAACAATGTTTTAAAAAATGATTCATTTCTTATTAATTTGATTATTTTTAAACAAAAATTGTCCTATAGATGTAAAAGTAATTATAACTCACCTCCAGATGCAATATAAAATCCGCTGGGTGAATATTTAGCCACATTCACTTGACAAGAGTGTTCCGTGTATACATCCGAAATCGCTGGGTTTTCGATATCTCGTATTATAACAGAATTCCCATTGGTGTACAAGAAAGTCTTGCCTTTAGGATCACCTCCCAACACTAAAGGAGTACCTCGCTGGGTCCTGGGTAATGCGGCAAAAGTATACTCTGCGGAAATAAACACACGTTTACTAACGACTCGCGAAAACAATGAAAACTATCAATCGAAAAACAGTTTCGGTTCACCGACCATGCCTCAAAATAAATACAATAAAAACCACTTACTGTTACAATAAGACATTATAATTATATATCTACTACACTATAAATTACACTGATATTACAATAAATATGGTATATTCAGTACTTTTTAGATTATATAGAAAAACAAAATCAGCCGCTACTTTCCATAGCCTCCCAAAAAATGACGTGACGTTAGAAGAAGTAAGTGATGCACCAAGACGTACTTACGGAAGATGTCAATGAGTCACATTAATATAAATATCGATTAGTCATAAAAAAAGAATTAAAATCTAAAACATTTTAAAACTATTTATTAAGTTTATAATACAAGAAGATTTTAGTATAGTAATTTATAAATATTTTATTTTTTTCATGTATAGAAGAATCTATAAATGTATAAAAGTTGCAAATAAAACTATAAATGCTGTTTTCTATGAATTACGAAGATATTTTAAAATTGGAATAATTCCAATTTATAGTTATTATAAAGTTTAACATAATAAAACGTTATTAAATAAAACTATCTTTTCGGATTATTTCTAAGATATTTATATTATTATTATATTATTTATTAAGAAAGTATTATAATAAAACGTCATGTTACTCAATATGCATTTGGTTATGTATATTATGTGCATTTTTTTCACAATATACATATATAATTATTTATATTTATGATTTGGCAAATCTAGCTATAAAATGTTACGATTTTATAACAATAATTTATGACATTGATAGCGATTGAAATCGATTTCCTTTGTCTACCCAAATTTCTATTCCAACACTAATGAGCTGTCAAGTCATATGTCCATATATGGACATACATAACCATTACCAGTCTTGCCATTTCTGCAAAATTATGATTAAATAGAATAATTTGATTAATTTTTAAAAATTGAATATATTTTTAATTATACTTTTAATGACTCTATTTACCTAATCGTAAAACCAAAAATATATAATTATAATAATAACAATAAAAAAACAATTAAATTAACTATTTGCTTAGGATTAATTTATATTTTGTTATGTAAACGTTTATTTAATACAATTTAACAATATATTTATGAATTATATAACGTTTTATTTGTATTAAAATAGTTGTTTCTCTTAAGAATATAATTATACAGGTATCCGAGTATTTAAACGATGAAAATAATTTTCAATTATCTGATGTCATTGTCAATTTCATTCGTATTTCGTACGCTGCGTGGAATGCCGAGTGGTTGAACTCGCAGCGTCTAGAATGTCTTGATATTCGCAATGACTGTTCTTGAAGCCCGCTCACATGTTACATGAGTTTTGCATTTTAGTATCGTTTCGCAATGGATAAAGTGTTAAAGAAGATTAACTAAGCTTATTTGTATCTTCGGCCAAGCTGTGATATTTTATATTTAATTTGACGTATGTTTCCACGTGGTGAACGTCATATTTAGTCTACGTGTTACGAATCTTTTTGAGTAATTGTGAATTGTTTATTTTAATTTCATTTAAAAGATGGAATCCCTGAATATGTCTAAACTAAACCTATCCAGTGTACGGAACACCGTGCCTGGTGATAATGCGCCAAAACAAGATATTTCGGAACCGAAGTACGAATCGAATGTAAGTTTGACAATCTGATTTTTAAAATTCATGACTTTTTATTTTATTCATGTAATTTTGTGTAAAATCTTGAATTAAGATATACATAATTAGATTTACAAAATAATTCTTAAAGTCGCGGGACAAGGAACAAAGAAACTAAATGTAGATAATGGTTACATTGTCCAGATTGTGCATTCTTAACCTTGAATTATAGTGCTCGAGTTTTTGCAGTTGATTAAAAATATAAAAAATTACAAAAAAATACGTAAAAAAACCCAAAAAAAAATATTGGTGATGTAAAATGGGATATTTTTGCTGTGGTATTCATTATCTCTAAATGTATCTTGCTGTATCATGTAAAAATAAATTGTTATTGTTGATTAGTGATTTATAAATATGAAGTATTTATTTATAATGTATTTTTCTCTTGAAAATGATTGATAAAATGTTTATATTATACTAGCGACTTACCTTCGCTTTGCTCGGGATCGTCCCTAGGTTGATTCCCCGTACAAACTTTCATCCCCATTTTCACCCCCTTAAGGGATTATTTCTGGAATATAAAGTATCCTATGTACTTTCCAGAGTCTCAAACTATCATCATACCAAATTTCATCTAAATTGATTCAATAGATCCAGAGATTACCCCCTACTACATCACAAACTCGTCACAATTCACAAACTTCTTTATAATGTTAGTATAGATACATATATTAAATTATTACATTTTTAATATTTTCTTCTAGTCCTTCACTGATCTTGATGGTGAATATCACTGTGAATATCGTGAAGACATCTGGAAGAGTTTACTGGAGCAAGATGCTGAGAAACCTATCATCCACCTCCAATCACCTCAGGTATTTCGTGTTTTTTTATGAATTACCTTTAAATAATATACACATATTATAATAATTAATAATTATGTCTTGTTTTAATAAAGTATTTATTTAAAGAGAAATAGTTAAAATCAACATATAAACATATTATTTGTCAAAATTTGCTTATTTCTAATAAAGTTATATAAATTATACTCATCTATTCACCATTGCATAATGCAACACTTGAATTGCCTTTATTAAAAACCTATATCTATGCCTCTTATTATTATGATGCAATATTCTCTAAACATTATTTGCCAGTTCAATGTTGACTTACAAAAATAAACTATATTTAACATAATTATATAGGTTTGTTACGGTAATGTCCTTGCAATGTTTTTATATACTATAGTTTTTTAGTCCTTAGCCAAGGCTACAAAACAAATAAAAAAAATGGCTAATTAAGCAAATATTGCATTATTGAAAAAAACATTACATTTTTGCAAACATACAGTAAATGGATGAAATATAAGCCTTTTTTAAAACATGTTATTTTTTAGAAAGAAATATGATATTTGTATTTATATATGACATCAATTGAAATTAATAATGCAATTGTTTGAATTGTTGTGAAACACTGATGCAAGATGGTGCATTAAATGTATATAGTTTGTTATGTTGCATCATTTCAGTTTGGACCTAATTGAGAGTAATGGGCCCTTTTTGGTGACTAATATTATAAGCAAGATACCTATAAAGATTAACTTTATAGTTATGCATATACTTTATAGTATCTGCTAGTCAATATCTATCACCCTCACTTCCCTCGGGTTTGCTACTAAGTATATTTTGACTTTTGATGTGTATAATGGTATGGAGATAGACTATATATACATAGGTATGATGAGTTTTATATTTCTTACTTGAGAAATGATTGCAAATATTTGTATTAGTATAATCAATATTTGTATTTTGGTAGAAGTTTGCTTCTACCCCCCTTTTCACCTGCTTAAGGGATAAAACTATCCTATGTCCTTCCAGGAGTCTCTATCTCCATATAAAACATCTTCAGTGGATTAAGCGTGAAAAAGAAACAGACAGACAGACAGAGTGTACTTTTAAAACATTAGTATATTTATAGCATACTAGCAACTCACACTTGCTTTGCTCGAGTTCGTCCCTAGGTATGTTTTAAATTAAAATGGATATAGTATGTTATCCTTAAGAGATAGATATAATTATGCCATCGTGGACTTTTCTATAGACCTATATGCGATACAAAATTCCACCATACATTATTTTGTTATATCTCAAAGGGATTAGGCACCACCTCCAACAAATATCGTTATATTTTAGCCAATGTATACAAAAACTTAACAAATTATATACTAAAACCTTCCTCGAGAACCACTGAGAAATCTATACTAAACATTAATGCATATATATTTCATAAGATATATATTTCAGAAGATTATTTTATATTTTATTAAAGTGGTGGAAGGTTTTCTGGAAGGATACATTTAAAATTTATTATTTATCGAAAATAATTCATATGACAGAATTTCTTAATAATTTGTCAACAGTTGGAATTCCGTGGTTCTCTAGTTCAGCAACTAAGGGATGTCACCAAGAAGCTGGGGCTGACCATCGCCACCCTGCACTCGGCGGTCGCGCAGTTGGACTTGTTCATGGATGCTCACAGACTTCGTGCAGATAGACTGACACATGTTGCTTTGGCTTGTTTGAGTCTTGCCGGTGAGTTTTACTATCTTTTTTTTTAATAGTTTTATGTACATAGTACATACATAGTTTGGATAATGGTTTTTTTTTCATTTGTATGGTATTTTAGGGCTTGTTTCCGCAACTCGACGTCTGCGCGCCTATTTTGCGTGTGTCTTTTTATTTTATTTACCTTGTTTGAAGGTCGGAGATTTTGATGTTCTGGGTTCGAGCCCCGGTTACGGCTGAAAGAGTTTAAATTTTTAACTCTTCTGCCGAAAAATTCTTAGTAGCATCCTGGAGTTTGGAAAAATAGTTGTGTTACAGCTTCGTGTCCTAATTGCGTCAAGGCGTACAGACAGTGAGAGTAAGCAATTAAAAAATGTATCTATATCGTGCACTAATTAGTGTTTAATGCCACTTAGGGCGCCATGGAAGGAAAATCGATCTACCTTCTATGTACTAAACATCATCAAAATCCATTCAGCCATTCAAAGTGAAGAAGTAACAAACACACAGACATAATATCACATTTATATTAGTACCATGTTTTATGTTCTTATCCTTATTACAGCAAAAAGCGAAGAGAAGTTCAGTAGAGCACCCACATTGAAAACCCTAGCAAAGGTATCAGGCATACAACTCTGCGGCAAGACATTCAGACAGCTGGAGTGGATGGTCGGTCAGCATGTACGGTGGAGGCTTCTGACCCCCACTCCTGTGACCTTCGCAGCCCTACTCGCACAATATGTGGTGGCTGATTGTGATCTGACCACTCGGCATCCAAAGTTTGTGAGGAGATTCAGACGGGACGGAGCTAAACTGTTGGAAGCGTATTTGGATTTGACTTTGTCTGGTGAGTGTTTGTTTTGTTTTATTCTTCAATTATTGTTTCTGGGGTGGGGTCATGGTGAACGGGAGAGGTTATTAGTATTTCAAATGTAGAATTGTATCCATCAAGTTTAGGTTCCTAGGTTTTACTTTTTGACCTAGGAAAAGGATTAGATTCTAAATCTATACTAATACTATAAAGCGGCAGTATTTGAACGCGCTAATCCTAGGACTACTAATCCGATATGAAAAATTCTTTTTGCATCAGATAGTCCGTTTATTGACGAAGGGTATATATCATCCCATCAAATGTACGGTTCCCATGGGATAGATTTATTCTTTTCTAGAGACGAACCCGAAGCGAAGCGAGGTTGAGTCGCTAGTTCAGGTTATATTTCGTCTGTGTGTTTGTTATATTATATCTTTAACCATTTTCAATTGAATGTTTATGACTTTTTGTAATTATTGTCTGTACATAAATGTATCCGAGCCGATTGTAGATTCCTCACGGACTGTTACTTAACGGAAACAATTGTGACTTAACGGAATCGTTAAGATATGAACAGTACAAATATTAATGCCTGACGTTTGTGTCGCAATTTATGTCGTAGTCTAAACTTATCTGTACCCGTGCGCAGACGTGCGTCTCAAGGTGGTGGAGAGCGTGGACGTGGGGTGTGCGTGCGTGGCGTGCGCGCGCGCCGCGCTCGGCCTGCGCGCCTGGCCCGCCTGGCTGGCCGCCGTCGCCGGCCGCGCGCCCGGCGCCGTCGCGCCGCTCGCCAGCCTGCTGCAGCGGTACATATACACAGACACACACATACACATATATACATTTGTATATATTTAGTATAGGTTTCTCAGAGATGAGATATTTTCCCGCAGTAAAAAGTATCCTTATAATAATAAATATGTTAACTCGGATAACCAGCTGTCGTCATACCAAATTTCATCAGTCATTTCGTCTGTTGGAGCAACAGAAAAATAGTTTTTTGTACTTTAATCACTTGTGGTTTTAATTTCTTTAATTAAGACCTTTTCTATTATTGAGTTAACTTATCTTTACAGTTATTATAAATATAAACAGTATTTTATGTTTGATATAGTGTATATTATGTAAAGAACAGCAAAATGATGAAAAAAAGGCCGAAAAGTCTGAAAGTCGATATCCCACACGGTCGACGTCCTTTCTCTATGGTTATAAAAACGAAGCGAAATCCTGATTGAAAACACAAAAAACACAATTTACACATAAAGAAAATCACATTTAACACAAACCAATTTCAATCCACAGGATGATGCAAATACTGAAGTCACGTGAAACCGAAAATGAAGTAGACCCAGGATACAACGCGAGGACTTCACCGAACGCAACACCATGCATTTCACCGCCACCATCCCCATATGAGACCTATCGTTCCGATGTATCATGTCGTCCCCGTCACGTCTCCGAATCGTATCCGGTCAGATCAGATTTTACAATCAATTTTGATGAAAACATCCTAAATCAATACATACCGGGGCAAAAAACTTATTGTAAGTCAACTAGATTAATCGATGCAATGAACTCGGTACCCTCAACCAGTATGGCGGTGAAGCGTACGTTAGATGGCAATGACAGAATGTTAGATATTGATAGAAAGAGGTATCGTCTCGCCAATCAAATGTCTCAAGTTGTTCTTTGATTATGTTGTTTTCGCTAGTTTTTTTTTCCAATGAAATCGATTTTTCAAATTGTACCACGCGTGTGGGTAATCGATTAGATATCGATATCTCGTAATAATTCGGTTTGTAATAGTGATTATTGCTTAATTAAAAATATTGTTTGTTTATTGTGTCTATGTACATGGATACTAAGTTTTCTTTTAATTTTAATGTTTCTTTAACTTGAATGCTTATTTTTACTAATACCAGTTCAGGATTATAACTTTTAAATATGTTTATGACTACATTTTTCAGTCTCACGTCTTTCTCTTAAGAAACATTAAAAAATATATATTTTTATTTAAAATTTTAACCAAATATGATTAATTTTCTAAATATTTAACATCCAAACATCTTTTCAAATTTTTCCATTTATAATAATACTAAGATAATAACTAACATATACTCGTATATATAAAGCAGTATTTTTAGTTAAGTATATAAATATTTATAAAAATACAGGTTGAAACGAAAGAAACAGTACAAAAAAAACATATTTATACAAAATATATATTTTTCATACAAAAAAAAATAGCTGAATTATTGCGAATATCACTCGAGATATCGAGACGACAGCTAAGACTTTACGTATCGATATTTAATAAAAGACTTGTATAAAGTTATCCTTTCAGTACATTTTATACGTATTTAATTATTATTATTAGCTTTAGATAGTAACAAATTGGCATTGGATTTACAACCATTTTTTTTTTACTTTTTTTTTTAATTTAAATTGATGTGTGATGAAACTTTCAAATGTTAAGTACAATATCTTAATTTGAACATTTATTTTTTCAATAGCAACATTCAAGCTTTATTATTAACTTGCCTTTGAAATTCGTATTAATGTTAGTGGACGAAGGTTTTTGTAGGCCATTCATATTAGGATGACGAAAAAAAACAGACTACTTTTTTTTCGTGTCATATGAAAATATGTGAGTTTTTCATGTTTTAAGAGCCCTCTTTTAAGATCAGCTTGAAAAAGTTTTTTTTGCGGTTGCTCAAGATTTTTAAAACTTCGCTAAAAACCATCAGAATCCATTTTTAGGTTCATTACCTAAAACTTACCATAAATTCTGTCATAAATCATCTTATAAATTCTGATCTCTTGTCATAAATTCTGAGCCACCTTTAAAAATTAATATTTTAAGCTATAACTTTGAGAAAGTTACTATTTTTTTAGTTATAACATTTTACCGCAGCAAAAAAATGACCATTTTTAGAATTTTTAACAATCATGAGCGACCCTTAAATTTTTTATCCGAGCTGATCCTTAAAAAGGGCTTTTAAAATATGAAAAACTAACATATTTTCATATGCGACACGAAAAATAAACATTTCGGCATTTTTTGCGTCTCTTCGTCAATATGTAAAGTTTGAAAATAATAATAAACTACCTACGATATATTACCAAAAAGTTTCGGGCATTTTTTTTATATGAACATGTAACGGTTGTAAATTCAATGTACTACTAACTTCGAGGAACGAACACGAACTTTGAGAGCTTTAAGATGTCCAGTTTTGGTAATGTTAATGTATGCGAATGTCGTTTATGTGTTTGTTCGTCGTTGTTGGTGACCGGTTAACATTATAACGTACTGGGAAATTGATAAAAATATATAGCATGTTTCCATATATATTCTATTTTATCTGATAGTATTATAACTATCTATAAAAAATATATATTTGTCAGTCGGTACGTGATAGTGTAAACGGGTCGTTTTTCTTTAACCTATCTACTGTAATGTATGTACGCATTATAACGATTGTACGAATTTAAAAGTTAACACAATACTGCCCTTGATAACCATTAGAGTTTGTGGATTTTCGATTAGTGACACCTAACAATATATCTTGTTTATAATTGATTTCTATATTGTTATTTAATGTTTTTAATTTATTTTATGTATTGAACATACATACATACAAACACACGACTTAAAGTCCTTGAAAAAAGTACTGCATAGAATTCTTAGAAGTTGATTAAGCCAAGACGTGTTGTTAGGTGGATGTTAAACGAATATAAAATTTGCAATGTAAAATAACTCTAATTTAACGTGTAGTAAAGCTCATAGTTGTTCGAAGTGTGCTTAAATAAATGTATGACGCATACAAAATACATATAATGCTTAAATAAGACTCAGTCATATAGTTACGGTAGAATTTGAAAAATTAAAATTATAGACATGGAATTTAAAAAAAATTGCTACATATGTACATTCGAGTTTTACTATTTTGTTAGTTGATTATTTGATTGATATAGTCTGAGCGAAGAGGGTTGCCAAAGCAATTATATCTTTTTCCTTTTTTTCTACGTATAATTAGTTAATTTAGTACCATTTTCTTTGGTGTTAAGGTGATTTTTTTAAAGATGGCTTTAGATCGATTTCAATTTTTTTCTGGTCTATTGTTGTTTTTTATATTTGTTTGTCATCACAAATATTAAAAAAAAAAACATTTCGTGTTATATTATTTCATATGTAATATTATTGATCTAGAGTCATTTTTTTATATTGATAACGTCATCTTGATGTAGCTTAATTTTTATTAAGAGATTTGAATATCACATTAACTAGATGCAATGTTGCCATTAACAAATTTAAATAAAACATTACGTTTTAAGACTTCAGAATATTTTAGGTATTCAGGTCGGATTTTATTAAAATTGACATTTTTTTTATAATGGCAACATTAAATACTATTAATGTGGTATAACATAGCTAATTGTATTGTAAAATACATTTATTTATTTTTTAAGGGTTTTGTTTGAGAAGAGGGTTGTGAAGAGTTTGTTTTTTTTTTATTTTATTTTTCTTTTGTCATAAAGCATCCAATATGGAGGTTGAAACAATTTTATTTTTGTTATCGCGCATGTAAATTTCAACAATTGAGCCTTTTTATAATAACTTGTTATAAACTCTGTTATAATAAATATTTTTTTAAAGGAGTCAGTATTTTATCTGCTTTAATTTTTTGAATGTATAAGTTACCATTGTTAAAATTGTTGAAAATGTTGATCTGAGTTCTTTTTTTCCAATGTAAAACCTTTTTCTTTTCTTGATTGATTAAATGTAAGGTCAACAAATAAATTCAGGTAACATTTTTATTGACTGTATGTACTTTTGAAATAGAGCTTCCGATGAGAAATGTATACGTGTACCTAATGTTACTTAACTAAAATGGAAATGTAAGCTGTATCCGAGTAAAAATGAACATTTTTTTTATTTAGTTTTTTTTATTTTCTGTCCTTTTTTTTATTTGAAATTATATTGGAGCTAAAGCTTAGCTTATGTCAAAAAAACTGCACATTTATCTTTTAATTTCAAGACGATTTTATATGTTTAACTATTTTACCAGAATCATTAATTCTTTTGCTAGCTGTAGTTCTAGCATGACAATTATTTAGAATAACGAAATATTATAAATAATTTATTTTCGTCACAAAATATAAATTTTTACATATTAGATTTTTATCTTTTGTCATTTGGTTTCGATTTCGGTTCGATTGAGTCTCGTCAATTTTTTTTCTTTTGTCTTCGTGACAAAAAAGCTTAGATAGCTTTTAATTTAATTCATAAATATAAAATATATAATTTTAGTTCTTCATAGGTTTTTTTCGGATTTTGATTTTTGGTTTCCGACGTTTTAAATGCTTTACAGCAATCATGGTCACGGGAGACAGGTTTTAGACGTCTCAAATACTTGTTACAGACAATACCTACCCACAATTTTACAAAATGATTTCAAAAAATACAAAAATGGCAATAAAGTACTTTACAATATTTGTTAATTTTAAACATTTTTTAAATAAGTTTTATAAATAAACATGGAAATATTATTTATTTAATTTTAGCTGTTATTATTATGATTTTTTTAGAAAGCTATTAATTAGTAATCTTATTTAGTGTTGCCATTATTATATTTATAAACATAAAACAAAATATTAATTATTCAAGCCATATTATTGTTTTATATATAATTTAAAAAGTTTAATAAAGTGATTAAATTAAGACACAACGTAGGGGACCAAAAAATCAAAATAAATCCGCGAAAAAAAACCAACAGATAGTTTTATTTACAATGATAAATATTCGCATAGATCTAAAGTATTATTCTTCATAGGTCTTGTTTTAAACAGCTTAAAGCGAAATTATAAGAATGTATTTAGTATGAAGACTGAAGGTTTCAAATGCGAAGCAAATTTTAGATTGTTAAAATAAAACATAATTTTATACTTACTCGAAATAAAATATCGATAAAAAAATTGTTTTTATTTAATCGACTTCGAATATAGGGTTGTTTCATAAATGGTGACAGACTTTATTATAGAGAAAAAACCCTTTTTTTTTATTAAAGGAGATTTAAGTTTTAAGACGATCCTCGCATTGTAGGTCTTACGTTCTTAGATATTGCGAAATAAGGCATGTATAAAGAATTAAAATTAGCCATTTTTAACGTCCCACTGTTGGGGGCCTTCTCAATGCAGGAAGGATCAAGTCATTGACAACCACGCCGGTCAAGTGCGAGTTGGCTGACTTTAGGTCTTTCATAAACTAAGTAGTTAGGTTCTACCCACATACAGATTTTCAGAATAAGGTGTTATCAGTATACTGTTACATTCTTTGAAAAATAATGATAAATAAATATCACCACAATGGCTCTTTGTGGACACATTTCATTACAACATGTTTGATATCAGCTTTTACTTACCTAGCACGTAGAATAACAAAGAGACTTCAAAACCACTAAACTTACTCTGTGTCTATGTCTTAACAGATAGGTTTCTAACCATTTTTTGCATACATTTTTCTTAATGATAACTAGCGATTTACCCTTGCTTCGCTTGGGTGTGAACTTAGGTATGTTTTAATATAAATAGTTATTAGCCATGTACATTTTTTTTCGTGATTTTTTCCGATATTTTAATAATTATTCTGCTATTCAGGGCAGAGACATTTAAAACCTTTTCTCTACCACTAGCATAAGAAGAAGTACTGTGGATGTTGAAATATGTAGAACATGTAACATTGGACTCAGGACTTTAGTGGAGCTCCGCTGTGTTTGCGTTAGGAAAGTCAGGCAGCTAAGAGATAAAGATCAATACCTACTGCTAGACTTGTTGATTTTAAAATTGACTTTAAAAATTAAAAAGCTGACTGCGTAAAAAGCGAACTGCAAAGAAAGTTAAAAGTTGACGAAACACTCACTTTTACTGAAAATTCCTTGACAAAAAACCTAATAACTATACTTGGGCCTACCTAGGACTCGAACTTAGTGCATCTGAATTTACAGCCGTACTTGCTAGCCACTAGAATTTTGAGGCCGTAATAAGTAATATTATTATATAATAAATGATAGAACATGTATACCTAATGTATATATGTGTTTGTGATATTTATTGTGTGTGCTTGGGAAAAGAAATAAACATTCAATACGAGTAAATGGTTTCATTTCGACTGGGCTTCATTCAGGACAGCAACAGAGTCAATTATTTTCTGCCGGAGCATAGCGGTGGGAGCACGAAATCCCCGCACAAGCTTAAGCTGCCTAAGAATTTTATATATATATATATATATATATATATATATATATATATATATATATATATATATATATATATATAAAATTCTTATGTATATGCGTGTGTGTGTGTATATATATATTATATGTATATATATACTACCTACCTACCTATATACTTACTATATGTACATATACTATAACAGGGCCGGATTTAGGGGAGGGCAACTGGAGCTAGAGCCCAGGGGCCTCCACAAGAGAGGGGCCTCCACAAAAGAGATTAAAAAAAAAATAACCAAATGCCGACTGGTCGACAACTTTGTCGGTTTTTTTTTATTTATTTTTTCACTCTTGAACCTATACTACTTGTACAAATATGATTGATTTACTGCTTACTGAGGGCTTATGATTAATTATTTATCATGCGTTTTTTTTGGTACTGCGTGAGTATATTATTTAATAATTTTTAGGTCTGCAATATTATCATCAAATTTTTTATAGGGAAATTCACGTTTGTTAATTGAAATTTGAATTAAATTTTCTTTAATACTTTTCTATTTTTGTGTTTCGTATATTTGAATGCATGCACATAACTATATCTACTCCATAGGTTTAGATAATTAACTAAAGGTAAACAAAGAGTTTATGGGGACTTATCTAACATTTTATTACAAAAAATTTAACGCATACCTAGTCCTACACATACCTAGAGACTTACCCTCGCTTCGCTCGGGTGCGTCCCTAGGTGCGAGGATTTTATAAACAATTTCATATTTAATTTGTTTTGCAATAACGACTTAAAGCACTTGACTAAAAAAATTGTTCATTTTATTCGGAAAATAATTAGGGGCCTCCACTCCTTTGTTGCCCCGGGGCCTCCACACCCCTAAATCCGGCTCTGACTATATACTTACTATAGTATAAAAGAAAATTACAAACGGTGTCACTAAAAACTGCGGTTCATATTTTAAAAAGCGATTTCAAAAGAAATGATGAGAAGGTCGACCCCTTATTGTCTGGAGTTTTTATTCTTTCAATAGGCTATATTCAATAGTCGAGATGAACTTATAATTTTGGTATGAAGGTTAAATGGTACTTGTATTACATTGTTTTATATTGAACCTACTTTTTATACCTACTTCTAATTTTTTGAGCGATTTCAAAAAAAATAAGTACTGAAATAATATAGATATTATTATTATTAAAATTTTCCTCCGTGTGTATGTTACGATATAATCACTAAATGTTAATTAATTTTCATGATTCCTTTTTTAGTTGACGAGGATAAATCTAAAAGAAGAAACTAATAAATAAATAAATATGTTGGGACATATTAACACACAGCATCATCTAGTTCCATGATAAGCTACGAACTTGTGTTATGGATACCAGATAGTTGATACACTACACATACATAAGTACATATTATAAATATAAACACCTATGACTGGAGTACAAACATTCGTGCTTATCACAAGTGAATGTCCCCTTTGGGACTCGAGCCCGCGACCGCTGGCACGGCAAGTAAAATCACAAAAAAACTTAGTTAAACGTATCTTAAAAAAATTACTCTTTTCCTTTTAATTTAAAACAAAGAAAATTTCGAACCTTAATGGTGAAATAAACAATTTTAAATTCAGTGTAAATACTTTTGTTGTAAAAAAGTAACATTTTCGAATTTTAAAATGCATTATTTTTTTAATTACATAGAACAAACAATCACAAAAGAAAATAAACTAAAAAAATATAATATAATGCATTTAAATTCGTATGTTACATGATTCAAATATGCACTGAATTACGACCTTAATAGTGTACTCACAGTTAATCAAGTTATTTTTAGATTTTCCAGAGGTAAAACAAGTATCTCTATATGCTGTACAATGTATATGGAACTTATAGTGGATCTATAAAACAGATAATAAATATAAATATTTATCCCATATGGGATACGAGCGGGAATCGAACCCACAATCATGATATATGAGATTTCCATACAATATAGCAAAATATACCTGTATTGTATGGAAACAGTAATAACACCTATAAAATAAAACAAAGTTTAATAGTAACATATATTTTACAGTTGCAAATATCGTTGGCTACTATTATTTAATGGAGAAACAATGAAACAACATTTTATATGTATAATAATTTACTTCATTTTCATATAGGCAATCTATATACAGTATAATTATATTTAAATATATCTGCGCGAGAAATCCAACTCGATAGCATTTGACATATAACTCTAAAATTATAAAGAGATCTGATATTAAAAATGGAACTTTGGTAGATTGGTGCGCTACAAAAAATTAAATTTTTTGGATATGTTGTCAGCACTTCTAGGCAAGTCGGTACACTGCTGTGTCGTCGAGGGTCAGGGTTGGTAAGCGTGGAGGCCTGCGTGGGGGGCGTCTTCGTCGTCTAGGTCTACACTCGCAATGTAATGCACACAAGCCAATTCCAGCACAGCCGGACAAAAACAGTGGGATGGCCAATGTCCTCGTTACTGTCGCTACCTGTTCTCCACGAGACCACCTCGGGACTACGACTGCTGTATCAGCCCTAGACCAGTAGCAAGGATACCTTGCTCCCACATATCCATAGCTCAGAGTGAAGTTCTCGCAGTTTACCGCTGGAGGATATCCACAGCCTTTAATATTCACAAACAGAACTGCAGGACGCCAATCTTCGGCTTGCGCTTTATATTTCACATGCAATTGGATACATTTGTATGCGTCACTGGTGCAGCCTTCTCTACAAGATGCCCATGTACAATTGTCTAAGCCGAGTCTATCATCACGTCTTTCAGTTACACATTCAGCCGGGACGGGGTCGAAGTCAGCTGCTAAAGCACTCAAAGCAGGGTCGGCGTAGAGGGGCACTAGGAAGAGAAGAGCAGAACCACCTCCTCCAAGCAGAGCTGCTAGCATAACAGTGATGTATCTTGTCAATTTTGCACGCGTTTCGCCCCTCCGGCGCGAAGACCGCACGACCAAACGTTCAGAACTTCCACCCCTCATTTTATTAACACTGCGTCAACCCATGCTGATTTAAAATCCTTGTCCCAAATACTATTAAAATATTTCATTTAAGAGCATGCGCCAAAATTGAACATGCGCAAAGGAGGTTTTCATTGCGCTTGTTTACTCGTTTTACTATTCAATAATTTACTAGTATATTTCAAGTTGTACATACATATAATATGTATGTACTCATATTTGATCGTGGCAAAGTTATACATGATATAACTACTGATAAGCTCTTCGTTCACGTGTGTTGTAATGAAAATAATTAATCATCATCCTCATTATTATACATAATATATATAATATAATAAATGTATATTTTTACTCGCTTTTTACGATTTAACGTTTAGTATACATTTCTCAGAGATGAGATATTTTTTCGAAGTAAAAAGTATCCTATATGTTGACCCGAGTAACCAGGTATCATCAAACCAAATTTCATAAAAATTGTCTAGTGGTATTCTCGTCAGACAGACCGTCAATAATATTTCAATAAGATTTTTTTCAAAAAAATATTTAATGTAGGTACAGATTCGACTCAGTTACAATTTTTTTTATGGCTTATAGTTGCGTTAACAGACGCAATCCATTCTGCCAGTGTCACGTTTTGTGAGGAAGACACGAATGAGATTGAGCGGTAATTTTGAAATTTGGTAACTTTATTGTGGAATTAAAACTATAAATGAATGTTCGTTCTACAAGAGTAACCTATAACAATAGAAAAATAATTACGTAATACAAAAATGACACATTGATTGAGAATGAAAAAATATATACATAATGAGAACTATATTATAATTTAATTTTATTATCTACTATAAATTTAACTAGTTTTTTAATAAATGGGCTAAATACAAGGGCTAATAAACATTTGGTGTTAACTGGGCGGTGAATTTGAGGAGGGATTATATCATATAGAGAATATTTCAGTTTGGGACAATTAAAGAGAATATGATCAGTGGAACCCTCATCTAAGCCACATTCACAAATAGAGCTATTTCTAATTTTTAATTTTGCTAAATGAACCGGAGTACACGCATGGCCTAGACGAAGCCTACATATAATTGAGGTGGTTTTGCGGTCAGCACGGCGAAATCGAAAGAACCACCGGGAGACTGGAACCTCCGGTTGGATTGAAGCATAATACTTACCTTTAATTGTTTTAGAAGCGTTCCAAAATGTGTTCCAGGAAGTGTAAAGACTTTTATTAGACAAAGAACGCAAGTCGTGGGAGTAATTATAATAATGATTTAAAATTCCGCTAACTGTTGCAGATTTGGCACAGCTATCAGCAATTTCATTGTCGATAATACCTGAATGACTAGGGATCCAAGCCAAGGTTATGAGGATTCCCTGTTCATGGCAACGAAAGAGAACTTCTCTAATTTTAAATATAATAACAAACCTTGATTTACTACGGAAAGGGTTTTGTAAGATACTCTGAAGGGAACTTAAAGAATCTGTGAAGATAATGACTTTTGACATTTTATGTGATTCTGCAAATAAAATGGCTTCAAGCAGAGCTATACACTCTCCTGAAAAAGCAGAAGCTTCAGGAGGACACTTAAAATTTAGTATAATATTGAATCGAGGGACCCAGCAAGCAGCCCCAACACAAGACTCACAAGTAATTTTGGATGCATCAGTAAATATTTTAATATAATCAGACCAATCATTATCCAAAATACTCTTAAATTTAACATTGGCCCCAGGGTCACCTTTACCAATTCCCAGATTCGTTATGATTGAAGGAACAAAGGTAAGCGAAGGAAAAGGTACTGAGTACAAGGGGTTAAGGTTAAGTTTAAAAATAGACGCAGGAAGCTCTAAATTTTTTGGAAACTTTTAATAATACACGGAATTTGTTGATTAGGTTTAATAATTTGTAATAAATGATTGAGAAAACTTAATAACGGATGAGATGAAGATTGTAAAACTTTCGAAATAAACGATCAGAAAGATATTGTCTGCGAAGATGAAGTGGAGGCTCTACACACTCAACCTGCATAGCATTTGTGGGCGATGATTTCATGGCACCTAATATTATTCTTAGTGCCTTGTATTGGATTTTGTTCAATTTTTCTAGTGCTGTTTTATTGCATGGATCTAATAGAAATACTCCATAATCAAAATGGCTACGAATAATAGCGTTATATAATTTTTTTTGGGAGTATTGATGGGAACCCCACCACACTCCTGATAATGCACGTAAAATTTGAATATTCTTTTCACATTTTTTGGAGATATAATCTATATGAGTGGTACCTGATAATTTAGAGTCTAGGAAAATACCTAAAAATTTACAGAATTTAGAACAGGAATGGTTTGTTCCTTATATAAAATGTTAACTTCTGGAATATGTCTCTTCTTAGTAAAAACAACTACACTACTTTTCGGAACTGACAAAAATAAACCATGTGACTGCAGCCATTCTCCCAGATAATACAAAGCAGAATTTAATCTAGATACAATTTCAGTCATATCCTTTAAACTATAAAATAAAATAATATCATCCGCATATTGCAAAATATTACAGAAACTATCTACAGATTTATCAAGATCATGAGTGTAAAAGCTATACAAAATGGGGCTAAGAACTGAACCTTGCGGGAGACCCTTCCAAATTGTTCTAGGGGGAAGAAGTTCTCCCTGATATCTCACTCGAATCGATCTTCCAATAAAAAGATAGAAAATAAAATTAGTTAATTTTGGCGGTAAATTTAAGTAAAGCATTTTAGATTTCAGAAGCGGAAGAAGAACGCAATCATAAGCAGAGCTAATATCCAAGAAGACCCCCACGAGATATTCTCCTCTTAAAAAACTTAGACGTATTTCCGATATAAGAATACTGAGACTGTCAATTGTACCCATGCCCTTTCGAAAACCAAATTGTGACTTTGAGAGGATTTCCCTACTTTTCATTATCCAGTCCAGTCTATTCTTAATAAGATGCTCCATAACTTTGCCCAACGTTGATGATAAAGCAATAGGACGGTAAGACGAGGATTCTTTGGGATCTTTACCAGGTTTTATAATTGGTATAATGACTTGGGATTTCCAAGATGGGGGGATATTTTTGGACTCTAAAATTGAATTTATAATGGAGAGGTAGATCTGTTTAGCTGAATCACTTAATTTAATTAAGAAGGAATATGGAATACCATCTTCACCTGGAGAAGAATCAGATAGGCCATTTAAAGCACATTGTAATTCAGCAAAAGAGAAGGGAATGTCCATTTCATCATAATGAGATGGAATATCAGAGGGGAAACAGTCTGAAAAAGGGACAAAAGGAGGAGCAAGAGTACTACAAAAATTTTGAAGCCAGGATGACTCATTAGAAGAGATGTTATACAACAAATCATTAAAGGAGGATCGGAATTTTTTAATGCATTGCCAAACAACTGTCGCTGGGGTGCCAGGATGTAAAGATTTATAAAATTGTATCCAGCTTGATTTCTTTTTTTTTTTTTGAAAGCCGTTTTGTTTGTGCCGCTATATTTTTATAATTTATGAAATTAGCGCGAGTCATGCATTGCTGATAGCTGCGTTCAGCAATTTTACGCTTTTTTATAGCTATCGTACATTCTTCGTCCCACCAAGGCGGAGACAAAAGTTTTTTATGACCTGAGCGTTTTAGCGGAATATGCGAAGAGGCTGCCAAAAGTAAATTTTTAACAAAAGCTTCGTAACAACACAAAGAATTTTGAGGATCTACACTTGGAAAATTAGTTGACTGTAAATCAAAAAATGACCGAAACCCAGGCCAGTTGGCTCTACTGAGACAATATGGAAGCAGCGGATTTAGCACTGGGAATGGGGATGATTTCATGTTTAATGACATAAGAATGGGAAAGTGATCGCTGCCATAAGATGAAGCAAGGACCTTCCAGTTTAAACAAGATGCCAAACTGGGGGAGCAGAGGGATAAATCAACAGCACTCTTAGGATTTTGATTTGGATAAACTCGTCTAGTTGGAGATCCATCATTAATAAAGCAAAAGTTGGCTTCATCAATTATGTCCAACAACAAGTGAGAAAATGTATCACAATAATGACAACCCCAAGCAGTGTGATGGGTGTTAAAGTCACCCATTACAATGATTGGTCGAGGTAGGGAAGAGAAAATGAGCTGGAGTTCCGAAGCAAGCGATGGGTGAGGATGAGGAATATAAATAGAAGCAAATGATATGTTAAGGAATTTGATAGCCACAACGTTAATGTCATGGCTGTGATTGGGAATAGAAATTTGTGAAAACGAATATGAACGATTAACTAAGATAGCACTACCTGCATATCCATCATCCCTATCATCTCTCACACAGGAAAAACCCGGAATACGAAAACGGCTTCCAGGCTTCAACCAGGTTTCAGAAATGGCAAGGATAGCAGGTTCGAATTTATTAATAAAATGAATTATGTCTGATTTACGAGCTGGAAGGCTTTTGCAATTCCATGGCAGGATTTTTATTAGATCCATGATGAGATGTTGGAAGAGGTGAAGGTGGATTTATTACAGAGTTTTGAGCAGCGTTGTTCGGTAAAATATTTTTAGAAGAGAAATGGTTGTTAATGACAATTAATAAAGTGCGTAAAAGATGATCAATAGACGAAGGTTCAGATGCGACTGAATTAATGGCGCAACCATTACCAAGAGATGAAAGGCTAGGAGAAGTTATATTATAATGAGTCTGTTTATCGTATCCCTTAGCTCTAGGAGAAGGGGAACGTGGAATCTTTACTATCGTCTTTTTATAGCAGCGAATACCAGTTGAAGGAGAGCTATAATTGACAGGGTTATCGGTGTTGCTAGTGGAAGGATTTGTTAGGGAAAACATTTCTTTTGCAACCTCAGCATAAGATCTTCTCACTGGAGGATAATGAGTGGCGGCTTCCGCAAAAGAAATATTTTCTTACGACATGGCAGTTTTAATTAACCTTTGTCTTGTCAGTTCAGGGCAATTCTTGTCATCTGCAAAATGGTTACCGCTGCAATGTATACAAACAGCGGCTTCTTTGGTAACACAACACGATTCTCCTGAGTGGGATTGGGTACATTTCAAACATCGAGGTTTTGAGCGGCAAATATTTTTAGTATGGCCAAATCGGCAACAGTTCAAGCACATAATAGTTGGTAGGTTATAAGTTTCAACATTAAGAGAAGAATAAAACGCGTATATCTTATTTGGTAGCATCTGACCCCTAAACGTTAAAACGACAGATTGAGTTGGAATCCAATTAGGTGATCCATCTACAAATTGTTTGCGGTTCAATCTTCGGGCTTTAAGAATTTCACCGCAACCACTAGGAAGCTCCAGGCTCCTAGATAGTTCATCCATAGACCAGTCTATTAGAATTCCTCGGACTAGGCCCATGCGAGAGATATTAAAAGTAGGTATAAAAGCTTTGTATTTATATAACGAAAGTAACGGATTCTGAATAAATTTGTTAGCAGATGTGGCGGATGAGACGATGATTCGACACTAATTTTATTACGGCCAATACTTTTGACTCCATCTTTGACTATATCTTGAAATTTATTTTTAAAAAGAAATTCACCAAATTTGATTGCGCGAATAGTTAGTCCTGCAGATGGGTCTGGTTCTTCTCTTGCAACATGGATTATGAAAGGTCCGATGTCAGAGTCAGAATAACAATTAATTAATTCGTTGAAAGCGGGGTTCAGATAAACTGTTTGAATAGAGGGGTTAGCTGTCGAAGGATCAATTATCGTCTTTTTATTTAAGCCAATATTTTGTTGGACTCCAGAGCGTTTTCTAGAGAAAGAACTGGATAGAAGTAGTTCTGTCTCCGGCATATAAAAAATTTCGCCTGGATCCGGAGGCTCCGATTGTGTTTTATTTTCCATATTCGGTTTGTCACATATAGAAGGAAAATTTGAAAATAAAAATCTAAAACTAAAAACTTACCACAATATCTTCTATATATACACCTAAAATATTTAAATATTTACATTAACTAATATATACAACTAATTATTTATATCTACTATTTCCACAATGATAAAATAATTCAAATCAGAGAGGCTCAAAAATTGTGTGTTGAACACGTCAAACGCGATGACCAATTCTCCAATTTTATTATATGTATAGATTAATACACTCATTTGAAAACAATGCATTTTTAGTGTGCATTACTGTCTACAGACTACAGAGGTCGACACCTCGAGGTGTCAGTGACGTCACGTCACGCGTTTAATCTTTAAATTTGTCATCCATGCTTTAAATAGTACTTCGTCTACGCTTTATATATGTAGCAATATACTCTATGGTCTACGCACACTGACACCTCTTGACTCTTGAGTCTTGATCAAAGAGTATAGTTATATGGTCTTGATGTCAGCACGCCCGATCCACTTGAAACTTTTATTTGTCATCCATGCTTGAAACGGTATTTTCACTATATAATAAAGAGTATAGTTTTGCTTGGACAACTTTTGCTTATACAAGAATATTAAATTTTACTTAAAGGCAACACTGAACAGACGCGGGGTCTTTAAGCTAAATAAGTTTGTTTTTAATAATCCCATGATCTCTTCGAGTTCGGACCTAATGTTTTGACAATTCTTATGTAGTCCTAATCTATCATAAGTTTATGAAATCAATTAAAATTAGGTAAGTAGTAGTTAAAAAGGAATAAGTTATCAAACTAAAAGTTATCTTCACTGTGAACAGTCATCAGTAAAGTAAGTAAAAATACGAAAACGATCCTCTTATTATTAATAATTAATATTTTCAACTAATTTAAGCTTAGTATTCGTTTCATGCAGTTATATTAAAGTCGAAGTAATAATGCCTATTAACAAGAAACACAAAGCGGTAATTGCACCAATAACTGCTTCAGCGAAGAGAAAAAGGTTGCAACGTAAAAATGAAACTATTGAACAGCGAAATGAACGTCTCGAGAAATCAAGATTATGTTGTGAAAAGATAAGAGCCACGGAAACTATATCTCAAAGGAAGTTACGGCTGGAAAGAGATAGAATCATACGAGCAAAACGTATAGCTTCTAAAAAAAGTATTCAAAAAAGATTGCTAAGGGATAAAGTGTTTCGTGAGATCCAAATACGCCAACAAAGTGAAAATATTAAGGAAGAGAGCAAAGACAAAGACTCGTAAGAGTATGATATGCATCACATTTTATGTTACAGATTTCTAGATTCTGATGAAGAACAATAACTAAATCTAGATAAATCTGAAAATGAATTGAATACACGAAAGTTTAAGAGGATGGTTTATCAATTAAGATAAACTAAAAAAATATGCATTATTATAGGCACTGATACTTTGATTTTTAAAATTATGAGTGTCCAAATGTTTGTTTTCGTTGCTTGAAAAAAGGCTTGGGGTGCTTTGTACAATATTTCTATACTAATTCTTGTTTTAGAAATTGTACCAATGGAATATTCTCACAACTGATACTGAGCACCTCATGCTTTTTTAACAATAGCATTTTAATTTTCTCCTTAATCACTTTATTCTTATATTAACAATTATTTACTTATAAGTTTGGTTTATCATTGAAGTATGTTTTTAGTTTATTATACTACAACTTTTTTTCTATCTTTTCAATTTGATCTACTATAAACAAGTGTTTTTTAGTTATTATATATGAGTTGCTCAGCAAAAGAGTGGCCCAAGTCTTGCACATTAAGTATGGAGATAATGAGCATTAAAATTATCTGAGAATTACATCAGTACCTATATTTTAGTATTTTCTCTTGTTATGTAAAAATAAAACACAGACCATACAAAGTAATCATTTTATTCATAGTTTTATGCTTTCAAACTAGTATACAACTTAGAAATTTAAAAAAATGTGTGTTGTGTAGGCCACTATTCTACTAAATTAGAAGGTTATTGTTAGGTTAGTCATTGTCATAGAAGTCAGCTTCAGTATCCTGTGCAGAATGATTTGTCTTCAGGTTGTGATAGAAATCATGTCAAATTGGAGGGACATATGGTAAGAGCTGTAACAGATCTTCATATTTTTTCTTCTTTATGGGGTGACCATTGGGGTACAAAATATCTAGATCAATATCAGTCAAAGAGGAAAAAAAGGGGTTCTTTTTTCAATATCAAAGCAGTTAAATGGAGAAAAAGTTTCATCATTACTGTTGGTGGACTTGTAATATATTTTGTATGGATTATCAAGGGTAAATCGTAACCACTGAATTTTTAGCCATTCGACTTTGTTTCTTTGACTATTGTATTATTATCTATTTTTCTATTAATTATTAGTTTTTCAATTTTTTCAGTGTTTTTTAAGTCTTCTGTCATCATCTTCACAATCATAATTTTGGACTCTTTTCTTGGCATTTGATGTAACACAATTCCAGTCTTCAGAAACAAAAATGTCCTTATTATGTTTCTTTTCCTTTTCTACTAACCAAAAGTCACGGTCACAAGGTAGTACTATGATCAGATACAATAAACTTATGATCTATTTTTTTTTACTGTAAACTTGTTTAAACACACTATGTAATTATACACACACACACAGACACAGTATGTCCACAATTGCCGTTTGTAGTATGCTACACCAGTGGCTATGCATGTGGAGTAGGAAATGTCTTCATCATTGTCTGTATCGTTTTCCAAATTTTCTTCTTACTATCATCTCTCATTCCATCTCTGGCTAAATCAGCTTTTTCTAAATGAATTTCCTTCTCAATCTTTACAGCACTTTGTTCTTCTGGGCTTCCATACTTCAGTTTGATATTGAATATATCAAATTGTTTACATGTATCACTGTGTGGTGGACGAAAGTGAAGATTGTATTTCTCATTAAAAATCTTTCTAAATATGGAACTGTGATACCACTACATCTCCATTTTTCAAACACTCTCTTTTGTATAATTCATACATTTTAGTGATGCATAAGTCTGGGCATAGGTACTGGCGATTTGCGTTTTTACTTACTAGACTATAGTGTGATGTGTATGGGGTTTTTTTTTATAAAATCACAAACCTTTATCTGCTCTTCACTTGTTTTATTATGAGCTGAAGCTGTACCCCGTTTAGTAATTGGAGGTGTAGTTTCACGTTCTCGTTAGATGTGCTAAATGTGCTAGTCTAAGTTCAATGTGAAGTTTCGAAGTGGGTGTAAATTAAGTTCCAAGTTCCGTTACATAAGATAGATAAATACAGGCAGAGTTAATTAAAGTGTGTAAAAATACACATGTCTGATTCATATTTGGTTGATTTCTGATTCTCTCCTAATACTCAGTTTAATTTATGAATTGGATGTGTTCGTAGACAAATTATGTTTTTCACATAATGAATAAAATAATTAAATTTTTGCCATAATCTACAAGCCTTTTATTTTAAATTAATAAAAGCACTTTATTTATTTTGTGACAATGGTAGCCCAGTGGTAATGCGCTCGCTTGGGAAACCGACTGAACCGAATTCAAACCCCGAGTCTCGCACCTCTGATATTTTCATGTGCGAATCATTTCTAACATGATTACCACTTGTCTTAACGGTGAAGGAAAACATCGTAAGGAACCTGCATGTCTGAGAGAACCTAGCAAGTTTTCAAAAGACATGTGAAGTCCGCCAACTCGCACTTGGCCAGCGTGGTGGACTATGGCCTGATTCCCCTCGTATTGAAGGGAGGCCTCTGCCCAGCAGTGGGACTTTAAAATGGGCTGAATACTTTATTTATTTAACTTTTTCATAAATTTCAGTCTCATTACTTTCTGCTTAAATTAAAAGTTGTTTTATCTATGCATACAATAAAAGTGTAACTGATTGCTGTCTACATGGAATATATATGCAAAAACCTACTATTGGGGGTCTTTATTAACGCAATAAAACCCATATCAATGATTTTTGGAATTACTGTCTGCTGTTATGTGCGTTTATGTGCGCTAATCTCGGAAACTGCTTAAACGATTTGGGTGCGGTTTTCATTATCGTATTATGGTAAACTTCTCTTAACATTTAGTAGATATTTGTTTTATTTTAATCGGTTCATATATAAGAACTAGCATTGCCCGCGTCTACGCCCGCGTTTAGATGACCAAAAGCCAAATTCCTAGTTTTACAAATTAATATACTCTTACTTTGCAGTTTTGTATTATTTGATTTTTCTCAGAAATGAGACATTTTCCCCCGGCAAAAAGTATCTTATATGTTGACCCGGTTAACCAGCTATCACCATATGACCAAATTTCATCAAAATCCCTCCAATGGTTTTTCTGTGATGCGGTAAGACAGACAAAAATTCTAAAAACTATAGATTCGGCCTCTGTATCGATAATAATGTTTATTTCAATAAGATTTTCCAAAAAATATTTAATGTACAGATTCGGCTTAGTTACAGTTTTAGTATATATATACTAGATATATATTATACATGTTTAGAAGTTATGCCAATTTTAAAGGTGCTTCCACACAGGAGTTAAAGAAGTGTGGAAGCTTTGAAAATATATATCAATAGTTATCATGTTATTGAATCTTAAAAAAAGTTTTCATTTTAAAAAAAGATAATCTAACATTTTTAACTGTTCTGTGGTCTCCTAGAATTTAGTAATGAACGCGAGTGAAGCAAAGGTGAGTCGCTAGTACTTAATACAAATAAAATAACATTATCATTGAAAAAAAAATTCTTCTAAAATAAATGTTATATTTATTGTAACAGTATTAAATGTTATGTAGTCATGGGCTAACTTTGATATTTTTTTTTACTTACATTCCCAAGTTAGTTACAAACATTTTTTTATGAGAGGAACGTAATTTTTCTACATTGTCGATGTCCTAAAAATTTTAAGTGCATGTTAAAATTGATTAAAACATGTTAAAAATCCTAAAACGGTGATTGAAATGACATTCAAAGTTACCTTCACCTTTTAAATTAGGAATATACGATAAAATTATGTAAGTAGAAATTCTAATCTGCTTTTTCATGCAGTGAATAATCAAAATGTAGAATACATAAGGATTCTATATTTTTACCTATGGAATACGAAATATTGTTGCACTATGCATAACGTATGGTCACGTATCGACAGTGTCGATACATCGCATCGCTTTGTATCGCTACATGATAATATCGATTCGTACCGCGAACATTTATTATGTCATGTATAGTTTAAACCATGGATGCCAAATAAATGGTTTAAACTTTAAGTTTAGAATTATCTGTATCCTGTGTGTAGTCTGAAGTATGGAGGGTAGAAGGGTAGAAATAAGGAGGACCGTCTTTTATGGGGGATTAGTTTAAAAAGTGTCCACTTGTAAACAGCAAATTATAGTTCGATCACTCACCGAAATAGCGCTAGTCTAGGAAATGATATGAATTTAGCAATTATAAACAGAGCGAAGTGTGCTGGGTTGAAAAATTTAATATAATTTACAAATAATATTATTTCATAAAATATTATTTTAAAAATTTTATATAATTTAATTTACAAATAATGGGGGTACTTAAAAATACTGTATAATTTTATTCTATATTCATGTTTGTATATTATAATAATTTAAAAAAATGCGCATTAACAAAACGGATTTTTTTATTTCCTTTCTTAATTTAGTATCCTACTCTAATAATAATTTGTGGTGCTCCTTTTAAAATTCTTCCACTTACTGCTATATCGCAACCTTAATTTGCTCTCTTTCAACGCACACTTTAATACACTGAAATGGTCCTCCTTACTTCTACCCTCCATAGTCTTTACTCTCCAGTGACGTGATGCCAACATAGCGCTTTCGGCGGTAGATCTAACGCTTTTTTGGTTCTGTCAACGCCCAAACAAAAAATAAAGCGCTTAGTACCCAATCTAATATTCCTCTTTTTCAACATGTAATGGAACGGAATAGTTCAAAATAAATAAAACAACAAGCATCCTGAACCTCATAAATTAAAAAAAAAACATTAAGTCATGATCAAAACAAAAAGAACGAGTTCTGACGATGAAGAAGACTGGCTAACAAATTTGTAGATAATTTTTCTCTTTTTGTGTAAGTTTTAATTGAAAATAATTATAATTAGGTACCAAATCTTTTATTTTTTCGAAAAATATACTAATCTAGCGTTTTTTTAAGTCAATTTAGCGCGTTTTACTTAAAGAGTGCTGGCAGCACTGCAAAGTGCAGGCAAAGCTAACGAATTATATTTTTACAGACGGCATAAAAAACTACTCTATGGCATAAACCTGATAGGTTTATCTTATCTTATATCCAAGGATTTTATATATGTTCCATAAACGTTGTTTATGGAATATATAAAATGCCTACGTAGTTTATGGAATATATAAAATCCTTGCTTATATGATATATCATAACTTACGTAGTAACTAATACTTAATCTGTGCTCGTAACTGGCATCTGCGTGTGATAAAAAAGATGGCGTTTGAAAATTTCTTTTAATAATTTCACTTTTCAGTGTTTCTATTTTATTAACTTAAACAGTAACTTTTGGGTATGTCAATTCGATTATTTCAACTTGTAGTTAGTTCCTTGAAGCAGAATCTACAACCGTCGAATATTTTATTAAAATCAGGTATATAAATAGTTAATCCACGTGTTGTTTTTATTCCGGTAGTGTTTATTGATAACGGTTTGCTTTTCCTTGATTATTATTTAGTTTAAAATATTTAGATGATTCTGTCTCAGTAGATATTTAAAAAAATGTCATTTATTTTTAAGTATTTCGCTTGCGGCGCTCCCGTCGTTTAAAACAGATTTATCATCGACTTCAAGAGGTTGTAACAAATAAATTTTACTTTATTATTTATAAACCTTAGTGTATATTAAGATAATATTATAATATGTAAATATATAATATTTTAGGTATATCAATAAGGTCTATAACAGCCATGGAAGTTACTGAATCTGCTGAGAACAATCCAGAAATATTACCTTGTAAAAATCATACACGGTACAAACGACGTTTAAAACGGCAATGGGAGTCGAATGATAAAAATGAAAATAATGCCAGTGATGAAAAGAAAATATGTGATAAACCTTTCGAAAGAATTAAAAGAAAGAAAATGGCGATGCTGCTTGGATACTGTGGTGTAGATTATTATGGTATGCAAAGGTAAAACCAAGGATTTGATATATAGAAAAGATTATACATTTATTTTCTAATAGGTATATTTCTTTTTGTACCTAAGTAATACATAATTTTTAACTAACTTGTAATTAGGTTAAGTTTTGAGCAATGAAGAATAAATTGTAGTGTTTTTGTGTTTTTTCTTATTTGATGGACAAAATATTCATTTTTAGAAATCCAGGTGTTAGAACTATAGAAGAGGATCTCCTTAAAGCTTTATTTGAAGCGAAATATATTACGGAGGAGGATTTCAACAATCAACAAAATGCACAATTTCAGAGGAGTTCTCGTACTGATAAAGGAGTGTCTGCTGCCAGACAGGTTGTCTCACTTAAACTACGTTAGTATTTAACACTATTCAAATTAATTAAATATAGCATAAACATTCAATTCAATTCTTTTGTTTAGACTTTAGTGGCTTGTAGGAGTGCCAATTGGACACAATTTACTTCAGCAATATTGAGTAGAATGGAGAAAAAATGTTATATTAAGAATGACTGGTAAAAGAGAGAAATAAAATGGTAGGCCTGAATACATGTTGATACAAATGATTCGTTCTAAAAACAGGATCTACAACCGTATCTACATATATATTGCAGAAGCAAAAAAGTTTCAAATGGTCATTTTTTAAGTTATATCTCATATAAATGATATCTGTCATGTATTTAGGGTAGTGAAATATAATTAGTGACATTAAATTTGAATATAAAAAGTGGAAAGGCAAGGGTAATGAAAGAACAAGTCCCATCCTGTGGTTTTTCCCTGATGCAAAAACAGACAGATAGACAAAAATTCTAAAAACTATAAATTCGGCTTCTGAATTGATAATAATGTCTATTCCAATAAGATTTTCCAAAAAATTTTAATGTACAGATTTGACTCAGTTAGAATTTTATTATATGTACAGAAGATTTAAATTTTTTTCGTGGAAGCACATGGTGTAACTGACATGACTTGACATAAAACATTTTTTTTCACATCATGTGGTAATGAGATGCTTAGTTTTGTAAAACCATAATTTTTTTAGCAGAGTGAGCTAGATTACGTTAGCAGAGGTTATAAACAATTTGAATAATCATTTTACTCCAATCGAATTGTGGAGTCATAAATTTCATATATGAGGAAACAAGGTAACAAGGTACCAATGCAGGGTTACATATAGCAGAGTTGAGAAGAAAGAGTTGATTTTGTAACTTTGTGCATTTAGAGAGGGTTTTAAAGGATAGCCTAGTATCTGGAGTAAATTTATACTAATATTATAAATGCGAGAAAAGTTTGTGAGGATGTATAGATGTCTGGATGTACAGATGCATGGATCTTTGTTATCCTTTCACGCAAAAACTACTGAATGGATTTTAATGAAACTACAATAATATAGTTCATAAATTAGAATAACAGTAAGGCTACTTTTTATACTGGAAAAATGTATGGTTCCCTAGGATAGTATAAATTAATTATAAAAAGTGAAAAAACGAGGGTAATGAAGAAACAGCTGTCCATTCATTATTCAAGTAGAAACAATTTGTATAATAATTATCTATTTCCAGCTCTAGAAGTTAACATAGAAGAAATAAATAAGAATTTACCTGAATGCATAAAGGTGTTTGCAATTAAACGGGCTACCAATAAGTTCAATTCAAAATCAAAGTGCAACGCACGGACATACAGTTATACACTCCCTACATATGTGTTCGATCCTAATGTTAAAGAAGAAGATAGAAAAGCATATAGATTATCTGCTGAAAAAATGACTAAAGTTAATGAAGTATTAGCTGTATACAAAGGTACCAAGAGCTATCACAATTTTACAGAGAAAAAGTAAGTTTTAAATACATACAATACTTTCCAAATGATTAATATATTTTTTTCATAAGATTTAACATTAAGTATAGATTTCTCAGAGATATTTTCCCGCAGTAAAAAGTATCATATGTGTTGACTCTGATAACCAGCTATCAACATAACAAATTTCATCAAAATCTGTCTAGTTGTTTTCTTGTGATGTGTTCTCAGACAGACAGACAGACAAGAACTCTAGAACTAGGTATAAGAATTCTAAAAACTATTTAGGCTCTATAATAATTACTATTTCAATATATCGATAATAATTACTATTTCAATAAGATTTTCCAAAAAATATTTGAAGTACAGATGATCTGTTAAAATTTTGTTATATGTACTAGCAGTTCACCCTCGCTTCGCTCCGGTTGGTCGCTAGGTACGTTTTAATTAGATATAAAATATAAATAGTTATTAGCCAGCATTAGCCATATAAAGTTTTTTTTTCATTAATTTTTAATTTTTTCTCTTTATTAAAACCTTCCATGGACCTTAGGGAACATACAAAGATAAATTTAGCCAAATTGGTCCAGTCATTCTTGAGTATACACTGACCTACATTCATTTTTATTTATATAGATAGAAGATAGATGTAAAATAAGGCAGGTGTATCACCTTTCTATATATAACAGTTAATAATTATTAAACAGTGGTGTTACTGTACCAGTAGTACCTGTTAGCTCAAAGCAAATTGTGGGTCATTGCATGATAATATATAATTTCTAAGCTTTTCTTAAAAATATTTAAAGGTTTTGATGTAATATTGTTTAAAAAAATATGTTAAACTGAGCATAGTACTGTGGTATTAAGTTCTGGTTTTATTTTATTTTTTTCTTGGAGTGTATTTGCAATCAGCCCTAGGACTATGAGCAAATCTGTTCTGTGATGCTGTCATGTGGAGCGACTTCCCATTGGAAGCATCTACTCATCTGCTGCCCAGAGCTACTGTCGGTCCTCTAGCTCTAGAATATGATGACGTTTTAGTCGTCTCACATATTGGTCCATGGTTAGCTGGCGAGCAAGTTCATTAGGGTGGCGAATTAACCGTTCTTTGTATTTAGCTGCCAAACTCCGAATTTCCTCTTTGATTGTTCTCATTCCAAGGTGCTCGTGAACTTCATTGTTGGTTATGTACCATGGTACTTTTGCAATTGTTCTTAGTATCTTGTTGTGTTGGCGCTGGAGTATATTTATGTTGGAATCGCTTGCGCTGCCCCATAGTTGCAAACCATATGTCCAAGTGGGCTTTAGGATGACTTTATATATCAGTAGTTTGTTGTCCAAAGAGAGTCTCGAGTTCCTTCCTAGCATCCAGTATAGGCTGTTGTATTTTATTTGAAGCTCCTGCTTTTTACATTTGATGTGGTGCCTCCAGGTTAGTCTACGATCAATATGTAAGCCAAGATATCTTACATGGTCGCTGTGTGGTAGAGTATGTTGGCCCAACTTTACAGGTGGGCAGTCTCCTTTTTTGAGGGTAAATGTCACCTGTACTGACTTTGCAGCACTAGCCTTTATTTTCCATTTTTGGAGCCACTCATTTACGTTGTTAAGGCCTTTCTGCAAGTTCTCTGATGCCAGTCTTGGATCTTTATTACTTGCTAATATAGCGGTGTCGTCCGCAAATGTAGCTGTGGTTGTCCCTGGCGCTAGCGGTAGGTCAGTAGTGTACAACGTGTAGAGCATGGGGCCGAGAACAGATCCTTGTGGCACCCCAGCGTAAATTTCTTGGAACTCAGAAGTGGCGTCGCCTTCTTTCACATAAAATATACGATCATCGAGGTAAGATTTAAATATTGAAAAGTAAGAGTGGGAAATTTTCTGCTTGATCTTACATAGTAGACCTTTGTGCCAAACCTTATCGAATGCCTGCTGGATATCCAAGAATGCTGACGAACAGTATTCCCTTTGTTCTAAGGACTTTCTTATAGCGTCACATACTCTGTGGGCTTGTTCCACTGTGCCATGGTGTTCTCTAAAGCCAAATTGGTGATCTGGTATCACTTTGCGCTCCAAGAGACTTGGCATAATTCTGCGAAGTATTGTCTTCTCCAGTACCTTGGATAGAGTAGGTAAGAGACTGATTGGACGATAGGATGTTTTTTCGGTCATTGGTTTGCCAGCCTTGTAAATCAAGATGATTTCCGAGACTTTTCACGCACTCGGGAAGTACCCTATTCGTAGCATGGCGTTGAAGATGATCGTGATGAAGACAATAGCCTTTCTTGGTAGTTCCAGCAATACTTCTTTAGTTATCAGATCGTAACCCGGTGCCTTTTTACTGTCCAGCCTTTTGATAGTTTTTATGACTTCTGCGGGCGACACGGGTGTAGGAGGAAAGTCCATTTGAAGGTCTTGTTTTAGAATGAGATCAACATGTTCTTCTGATGAGTTGTCTAGTGTTACATTTGGTGTGAAAACGCTTGCTAGATGATCCGCAAACAAGTTCGCTTTGTCTTGGCTTGTTCTGGCCCAGCCGTTTTCCCTTTTTAATGGGGTTTTTGGTACGTTAGGTCTGTTAGAAGAACGGGTGATTTTCCAGAGCGAGTAGTTGCTGGCTTTCGTAGCAGTTAGAGACTCCAACTTTGCTTGCATTGTTAAGTCATTGGCATTTTTTATAGCTTCCTTCACTTCTACAATGGCTTTATTAAGGAAGGTCTTGTCTTGCGGATGACGGCTCAGCTGCCAGACTCTCCGTAATCTGCGTTTCTCCTGGATCATGATCTTTATTTCCAATGGTACGTTTGTGGGCTGGCTCCTATGTTCGATAAAAGGCGTGCTTCGCCACGCGGCAACTTGGTGGTTTTATATAATAAAAAAGTAACTGATTGCTGTCTGTACATGGAAGGTATTTCAGATAAACTATTGTTGGGGGTCTTTATTAATGCAATATTACCCAAAATAATGATTTTTTGAATTATTGTCTGTTTGTCGATTTATCTGAGCGTTTGTACGCGCTAATCTCAGAAACAGCTGAACCGATTTGGGAGCAGTTATCACTAATGTATTTTGGTAACCTTCTTAACATTAGTGTTTATTTTATTTCAATCGGTTCATAAAAAAAAAATTGTGTCAATTTAAAAAACCTCTCAGGGACAAACCTGAGCGATGCAGATCATCTAGCAAGCGTTTTCACACCAAATGTAACACTAGACAACTCATCAGAAGAACATGTTGATCTCATTCTAAAACAAGACCTTCAAATGGACTTTCCTCCTACACCCGTGTCGCCCGCAGAAGTCATAAAAACTATCAAAAGGCTGGACAGTAAAAAGGCACCGGGTTACGATCTGATAACTAAAGAAGTATTGCTGGAACTACCAAGAAAGGCTATTGTCTTCATCACGATCATCTTCAACGCCATGCTACGAATAGGGTACTTCCCGAGTGCGTGGAAAGTCTCGGAAATCATCTTGATTTACAAGGCTGGCAAACCAATGACCGAAAAAACATCCTATCGTCCAATCAGTCTCTTACCTGCTCTATCCAAGGTACTGGAGAAGACAATACTTCGCAGAATTATGCCAAGTCTCTTGGAGCGCAAAGTGATACCAGATCACCAATTTGGCTTTAGAGAACACCATGGCACAGTGGAACAAGCCCACAGAGTATGTGACGCTATAAGAAAGTCCTTAGAACAAAGGGAATACTGTTCGTCAGCATTCTTGGATATCCAGCAGGCATTCGATAAGGTTTGGCACAAAGGTCTACTATGTAAGATCAAGCAGAAAATTTCCCACTCTTACTTTTCAATATTTAAATCTTACCTCGATGATCGTATATTTTATGTGAAAGAAGGCGACGCCACTTCTGAGTTCCAAGAAATTTACGCTGGGGTGCCACAAGGATCTGTTCTCGGCCCCATGCTCTACACGTTGTACACTACTGACCTACCGCTAGCGCCAGGGACAACCACAGCTACATTTGCGGACGACACCGCTATATTAGCAAGTAATAAAGATCCAAGACTGGCATCAGAGAACTTGCAGAAAGGCCTTAACAACGTAAATGAGTGGCTCCAAAAATGGAAAATAAAGGCTAGTGCTGCAAAGTCAGTACAGGTGACATTTACCCTCAAAAAAGGAGACTGCCCACCTGTAAAGTTGGGCCAACATACTCTACCACACAGCGACCATGTAAGATATCTTGGCTTACATATTGATCGTAGACTAACCTGGAGGCACCACATCAAATGTAAAAAGCAGGAGCTTCAAATAAAATACAACAGCCTATACTGGATGCTAGGAAGGAACTCGAGACTCTCTTTGGACAACAAACTACTGATATATAAAGTCATCCTAAAGCCCACTTGGACATATGGTTTGCAACTATGGGGCAGCGCAAGCGATTCCAACATAAATATACTCCAGCGCCAACACAACAAGATACTAAGAACAATTGCAAAAGTACCATGGTACATAACCAACAATGAAGTTCACGAGCACCTTGGAATGAGAACAATCAAAGAGGAAATTCGGAGTTTGGCAGCTAAATACAAAGAACGGTTAATTCGCCACCCTAATGAACTTGCTCGCCAGCTAACCATGGACCAATATGTGAGACGACTAAAACGTCATCATATTCTAGAGCTAGAGGACCGACAGTAGCTCTGGGCAGCAGATGAGTAGATGCTTCCAATGGGAAGTCGCTCCACATGACAGCATCACAGAACAGATTTAAACCTGAGCGATGCAAAGATGAGTCATTAGTATGCAAGTATATTTAAAATATCTGCTTCCTTTCTGTCAGTAATACCATCTTTAAAATCATATGCATTCTTGTCATGAAATAAAACTTTTACTCATGCTAAATATTATAAATTTGAAAGCAACTAGTAACAGACAGACAGACAGTCTGTCTGTTATCTTTTCACGCTTAATCCGCTGAACCGAATTAGACGAAGTTTGATATGGAGATAACTTGAGACCTTGGGAAGGACATAGGATAGTTTTTATCTCAGAAATCATCCCATGATGGGTGAAAAGGGGGGTGGAAGTTTGTATGGGGGAATCAATCATTTGTCAAGTAAGGGATATAAAAGACATCATACCTATGTATATATAGACTATCTATTTCCTACTAACATAAAATATACCTAAGGATGAACCCGAGCGAAGCGAGAGTGAGTCGCTAGTATACGAAATACTATTTAATTTGAGCTATGACATCTAAACACAAACCTGCTTCAACAGTGCCTTAAATGTAACCCCTACCCATTAGGTATCTACATTGCAAAGATGATATCAAATTAGTACATTTTTTAAAAGGATTGTCGATCCCATTTGTAATATTTTTTTATTTCAGTAACTTCAGAAAATTATTAGCTTCCTGATAAATAGTTTGTGTTAATTTTACTAATATTATAAATGTGAAAGTTTGTATGGATGTTTGTTACTCTTTCACGTCAGAACGGCTGATCACATCTGAATGACATTTGGAACAGAGATAGATTATAGTCTGGAATAGCATAAAGGCTGCTTATTATTACCCGGGAAAATACGGTACGGTTCCCGTGGGACATTTGTTCAATATTTTATGTGTTTTAGGCATTATCAAGACCCATCATCGTTAAGGTATATGATGAGTTTTACCTTAGAAAGAGTATTTTTGGAATCTGAAATGGAGTTTGCTGAACTTTTAGTTAAGGTAACCTTTTTAATAACTATTAATAATGCCTCAACGACCGCGGACACGCCGGCGTTACAGTTAACAATAGATTTCTTATAAATTTAATTAATTTCTTAGAAATTTACCTGGAGGTGTTAAATCTGTAGAATAATAATAATGTACTCCTAACTGAAATCTGCACTAAGCCAATCTTACCAAGATTAACCAACTGTAAGTATGGGAGATATTATTGTGCACAGATGTTCGCACAGACACACAGACATACATGCACAGATATGCACTCTATTTCGTTTACTCTCAAAGTCTAATGAAATGCAGAACTTCTCAACTTTGGGCTGTTACTGATAATTTCTTGATATAGAAGTCCTATAAGTATTCAAGTCCTCAGTCAGGCCAAGCATAGTATTTTAATTTTATTTCAACAAAATTTTGTATGAGGATTGGAAATACATAAAAATCTGCAATATGCTTTCCAAAAAGTCTTCTGAGATATATGATCGTAAAAGTTGCCATATGTTGTATTTTATATTTATTAAAAAAATATACTTTTTTGTTTGCTCACACAATCATTTAATACATTTTTTTGAGCTAAGATGAAAGTCAAGACTAAGCCCATTTTTGAATAAAAAAAAGTTTCTAGCTTCAATTTGAAATGTCAATAATATGTTTAAATCCCTACAAGATAGAATTAAAATTAAAAAAAAATTGTTGCACTTGTGTTTTTAGGGTCAAAGTTTTATGTTACATCAAATAAGAAAAATGGTTGGGCTAATGATTGCTATAGTCCGAGGTCACACCGACATGGGCACCATGGAAAAGGCATTCAGTAAAGACAAAGTTATGATACCGACGGCCCCTGGACTAGGCTTACTTTTGGATAAAGTAAGTTAATAAACATTTCGTTGTAATTTAAAAGAATGGCAGAGAAATATATAATCAATACGATTCACAATTTTTCGACAGTTTACAATCTCGCGAGATAGATTTATAATTTAACGGTATTTACAATTTTACGGTGACATATACATATTTCGTGCGCGTTCAATCTACAAAAAAAAACTCTTTGCCTTTATGTTATACAGCAACTCACCCTCGATTCGGGTTATCCTCGTCGATATATATTTATATTAGATTGTTCATACAAAAATACTAAAAGTGCGAGTAAAAAATGGGGATGGGGGTAGAAGGGTGAAATATACTTTACGACCTGTTCTCGGTTCTTCGAGCAAATATACAAAAAAAATCATTACAATCAGTCGAGTCGTTTCGGAGGAGTGTGACGACAAACACCGTGACACGAGATTTTTATATATATTATATTTGTTTCGAAAAGTCAAGTGACATAATCCCATAAATAATATAAATGCGAAAGTTTGGATGGATGGACGTTTTTAACTCTTTCACGCCAGAACGGCTGAACGGATCTGGATGAAATTTGGCATAGACATTGATTATCGTCTGTCTGTCGTATTATTCCGTAAAAATGTACGATTCCCGTGGGATAGATTTGTTTTTAATGTCCCATTTTTTTGGTGGATCTCGTTTCAAAACGAGGGTCGATCAGGCCGTAGTCCACCACGCTGGTCAAGTGTAGGCAGACTTCATGTGTTTTTAGAAATCTAGTTACTTTCATATGATGTTGTGAAGACAATGTTTTTTTTCAACATAAAGCAAGTGGTAATCACGTTGAAAATGAATCACACATGAAAAAACAACTATGCAACACCCGTGGCTAAAACTTGTTTATGTTTGTTACCACTGGGCCTCTAAATCACCTATAAAAGTTCCATACATTATCTATACAGATAAATAAATTGAAGTGTCTATTTGTAATAATGTTAAAACAGCTAACAGCATTTTACTAAACGCATATGAAAGTATGTGGTACATACAAGAAAAACACAATTTTAAAGATTTTTGTGTCTGTCTGATTTTTCTGGCTAATCTCAGAAGTTGCTGGACCGATTTTGACGGGATTTTCACCGGCAAATGGCTGATTATTTTAGAAAAAGAATTAGGATTTCGCTCAAAAAAATTTAAACCGGCTTAGCAGACGCACCCGAGGGAGACCAGGCTAACTCGCTAGTTAAATTAATTTATAAACTAAAATGATAAGAATTTTAACTTGTAGGTTCATTATGAGAGGTATGACGCGAAGTTTAAAGACAGCCATGATAGTCTAACGTGGGATTCCGAAGAAGAGGCGGTGCAAAGATTTAAACGGGAACAAATCTTACCTAGTATTATTAAAGGTGAAATTGAAGGCAATTCAATGGGGCTATGGCTAGAGAAAATCAAAATGCACTCATACGAGCCCAATGAAGAAACAGATGATAAGAATGATAATGATTTCGGTGGTGATGATGACGATGATGACACTGAAGTGAAAGAGGGTGATGGAAACAGTCCTGATGATGACAAAAGTGAGAATGAAGGTAGTATGGTTAGTGATAAGAATGATGTTATGGAAAATATTATTAGTGTTAAAGACAAGGAATGTAAAGATTGAAATATATATTATTTGTATATTTAATAAATTAAATATATGGCAGAGCCAATTTTTATGTTTTAAATTTTATTTATTAACTTTTTGTGTGAAGTCACATGTTGGCTTAAGGCGCTTACCTTACCCGATGACCTTCAAGATTTGACCTCTGTACTAGTATTTGTTATTTTAGCGCCACCTATCGACCAAGGATCATACTACAATAAAACGAAGTGAAGATTAAGCAAAAACACAGATGTGTCGCGTTGTCATCATTTTTTGCCTATTTCATTCGATCTGTGAGAGATCTCATTTTGTTCCTCTAGTTTTTGTAGTCTTGTACGAGTATCTGCCTACGTCATAATTTATATTATTTATTTTGAAATGCACGATGCACTATGCCTGCTGACATACCTTTCATATTACTAAATGATACATGCTGCAGGTCTGCTGATGACCAGGTAGGTAAGTAGGTAAACGGTTCTCAGTAACGGAAATAGGATGACCTAGCTTTCAACATTTATCTAATTGAGCACGAGTGCTACTACATGATACATTCTGAGGGTCTGATGATGACCAGGTAAGTGCTTATCGGTTCTCAGTACCAGAAATAGTTAGGATGACCTAGCTTTCAAATTTACCAGTGGCTTACCTTCTTTATAAGCCCCTATTCTTTATTTGTAATATCATAATATACATTAGGATGTAGGTATATGTAGGTATAGGTATATTTGTATGTGAGCAATAAACAATATTATCTGTCTATAAGGTGTGAACAAAATATAAAAAAAAAACTACTGGCGAAATTTCACAGATGCTATGGGTATCGCCAGCAATTTAATTAGACCATTTTTTCCCATTATGTAGTAATAAAGTTGAATGTCTGATAACGACTGGTTAAATAAAAAAATAGTTCGAGTTTCGATTTTGCTTTAATGGTGCCATTGTGACTGTTCTTAACTAATTGTATAATAAATAACACAGTCCTAAACACTTAATTCCCGTTAAAAGTCACTGAAATTCAAATATCTTGAACAGGTCGGTTAGTCACGTATTGGTGTTGGTGATGATGGTGCATGTAGGCTTTCTTGAAGTACGCACATATTTTCGACTCCTGGTTTTTGTAGGTTATGCACCTTTTTCCGTTTTTCTTTGTTCTTTATTGCCTGTAAAATAAATGGCGGATTTATTATAGCCATATTTCGAGTATGACGCGGATCCAAATGTTCCGGTAAAATACAATTTAAATAAAATGTACATAATTTTATTTTCATTTTATTTTTAAAAACATCATCGTCTCTAATAATTGTTTCAGTTTTCAGAGGCTTTGACTCATTGAACCATACTCCAAATAAACATTTTGTTTCCCGAGTTACATGCAATTGCCCTTGAACTTGGTAATACCAATTGTGGGTTTTATTAACCTGCAAAATGCCTGAATTATCTTTAACCCAAAAATTTACTTCTTTTTGAGCTACATCTTCGTCTATGCGTATATCTTGTGCGCTGAGATAGGACATTTCACATCTACTATCGCTTCTTCTTTAATAAGCCCATCTGGTGTAGCTCCTAAATATGGAATCTCGGGATCTATAAAAAGTCCGTATGGTCTAATTTCAACATCTTGTATAGACAGCTGATCTAGCGCTATTTTTTCATAGTCTCTTCCATGCTGTACAGGCGCAGCATCTATGTTTATTTTGTAGAGCAGTTGTTTTACTATGCTGGCACAACTAGTATCAGGCCTCATTTTGATAACTATTCCAAAGTTTGAGTCCGTCAATAAGGACCGCCGGAGTTTTTGTCATTCACTTGACTCGCTTTGCAAAATTGTTTGCCTTTCAATTTGTCTTCTTTCTTCCTCACTTTTATCTAAGTTAGATAGAAAGTTCTCCTTCATTTGTTCTTGTATCGCATCGCTCACATCGGGCTTTATGGTTTGTTCTCCATAATCTACACTGGCGTGCAAAAAAATCGGGCCACCTAGAGAAAATGGACAAACTTAAGATATGATATTTTTTTATTAATTTTGTTATTATATATGGGTAGATGTATAACCTAGGTACCTAAATCAATAATCGTTGAATAATTTAAATAAAAATTATTGATCGAAAACAGAGGAAAATCAAATTTATTGATTTTTCGCGAGTTAGGTATAAAAATGTAAGCCGCAAATTAATGGGAAAATTAAAAGATTTCGATTGGTTTTATGATTTTTAATAATGCGTATTACCGCCTCTATTTTTGATTACAGCTTTTAATCGGTTTTTCAGAGATTTGACACACTTACTTAGATAATCTTGTGTAACAGACTCCCATTCTTCCAATAAGGCGCTTTTTAATTCTTGAATGTTGCTCGAGACTACTACGCGACTTCTAACTTTTCTTTTGAGATGGTCCCCATACATGCTCTATCGGATTGAGGTCAGGGCTTCGCGCTGGCCAGGCAATAGTAGACACTTCGACCTCTTGAAGATACTGCCTTACTGATGTAGCAGGCATTATCTTGTAGAAGCAGAAAATCTTCTCCAATGAACCAAGTAAAAGGCATCACATGATCTTCTAAAACCTCCGTAAACCTAGCGGCAGTAAGGGATCCATTTTCTATGAATATAAGCTCGGTTTTCGCTTCGTAACAGAATCATGCCCAAAACATAACTGAGCCCCCTCCATATGACACTGTTTCCCGCATAGTGCATGGTGCATATCTTTCACCTGGTCGCCGGTAAACAAAATTACGGCCGTCGTCACCATGCAAACACATTCTGATTTTGTCAGTAATAAAAACCTTCTTCCACTGCTCCAAATTCCAATTCACGTGATCTCGGGCAAAAAGTAATCTTGCAATTCGATGTGCAGGGGTGAGTTTGGGGCCAGTTGCGGACTTGCGTGGCGTCAGGGAAGCGGCTCTAAGTCGGCGCCTTACTGTCCACTCGCTAACATTAACACCTCTCACTTCTCTCAGGAGATTTCGAACGTCAACCCCTGTGCGATGACGATTTCTAAGAGCTGATGACACAATAAATCGATCATCACGCTATGATGTGGCTCTTCGTCGGCCGGAACCATGTTGTCTTACAAAGCCAACAGTCTCTATGTAACGTTTGTACACTCTCTGGACCGTAGAACGGCTCACAGAAAAAGATGAGCCACTTGACGTTGACTTTGTCCAGTTTCAAGTCACAATTCGAGATGATTCAGCCTCGGTCAGATCCATCTTGCAGTATTTCTAATAATCGCAGATCAAAGTAGAAGTGTCTTGTTCAATAATTGGAACTCAACTAAGCTTCTAAAATAACAAAAAACAGTATTTTTGGCTTCAATCCATATTATGCAAATATTCACTAATTACTGCTAATTGACTATAATTAAGCGCACACGTGCATTTCCAGAAATTTTATGACTTTTTTGAAGGAAACAAAGGCGTCTAATCTCCTTAATTACCTTTGCGGAGTTTTTTTCACCAAACAATTGTCAACAAAAAATTATGCTTAAAATTGCGGGGGTTTAGTGCTCCCACCGCTGCCGGTTATGCTCCGGCAGAAAATAATTATCTCCGTTGCGGTCCCCGTAGCCCAGTCCAAGTGAAACCATTTATGTACTTGTTTTCATGTTTATTTATTCTCATAAGCACACAATAACTATAACAAGCACTTATACATTATATCTATGTACAATATTATAAAACTAATGATAATCAATGTTACACCAACGTGTTACGTGCCTCTCGAGCGACTCTTGTCTGAGCTCTGCGGGGAAGCGAGGGACGGGTAGCGGCGAATATAGCCGCACGTTTCCGAGCTCGCCCGCGGGGCGCGTTCGTAACTCAGTGGCGATTTGCGTTTGTCGCCACACCACCCCCCCACGGAGAGGGATAGGTTATAGTCAGTCCTTGATCCTGAATTTAACGCGCCTGCCGGATCGTGTGGTATAAGGCTGAAAAGTTGGCGCTGATGGTACTAACGGTGGAGATGGCGTAGCAGTTGCTGGTGATACTGTTGACGGGTTTGCGGGTGCGAAAGCTGGTTTTACCCGGTCTACGCTGACCGTGACTGGTTTGCCTTTGATGGAGATCTGTATGGTTTTTTTATCAGCAGCGCGGTCTAGGACTTCGTAAGGGCCGGTATAAGGAGGCTGTAAAGGTCGTCGGACGGCATCTTCTCGCAAGAAAACGTGCGACGCGTTTGCCATATCCTTAAAAATGAACGATGCACGTTCGCCATGACGATGGACAGGGCCGCAAGGATGCCATGTGACGTCGGAGTCTGTCCACCAGGTCTGTAGGATCTCGGGGTTCAGTAGATGCGGGCCCTAGGAACTCACCAGGGAGACGTAGCGTTTCACCATAAACTAATTCGGACGCTGTAGCCTTAAGATCTTCTTTGAAGGCGGATCGCATGCCCAACAGTACGAATGGAAGAGCTTTAATCCAAGAGTCACCACCATGGCACATTAATGAGGCTTTGAGCTGGCGGTGGACGCGCTCAATCATTCCATTCGCGCTGGGATGATATGCTGTCGTCCGGATACGTTTGATGGCGAAGGTGTGCGCAAGTCTACGGAATAAATCCGATTCGAATTGAGCGCCGCGATCTGTTGTTAGAATGGTAGGTACACCAAATCGTGGTACCCATTCTCTCGTGAACGTGTTGGCCACTTCCTCCGCCGTGATAGTGCGCATGGGCCAAACTTCGGGCCACCTGGTCAAGCGATCTATGGCTGTTAAGCAATAACGATATTCATCGGAGATTGGTAACGGTCCAATTATATCCAAATGAACATGCGCAAAACGACCGGATGGTGTGCCGAAATCTCCCAGAGGGGCAGAGTTGTGTCTCGATACCTTGCTGCGCTGACATGCGTCACAAGTGCGAGACCAGTTTCGGCAGTCTTTATTGATTGAAGGCCATACGTAGCGTTCAGTTACGAGGCGCGTAGTTGCTCGAATACCAGGATGACTCAAGTTGTGGAGCTTATCGAACACCCTGCGTCGAAGTTGTGGAGGAACAAAGGGACGTGGTTTAGCAGTGGACGTGTCGCAAATCAAAGTTATGTTGGTACCAGGCAAATCTACCTTTGTTAACTTGAGGCTGGAACCGTTATGTAGTAGCTTCGCTAGTTCTTCGTCAGACTTCTGAGCCTTGGACAGATCCTCGTACTCTTGCTCCAACGAAATAGCGTCTATTCGCGACATTGCATCGGCAACCACATTGTCTTCTCCTTTTATATATTTAATATCCGTCGTAAACTGGCTGATAAAATGGAGCTGATTAAGTTGTGCGGGAGCCAGTTTTTCTCGACGCTGTACGAATGCGTACAGCAATGGTTTATGGTCTGTAAAAATAGTCGCATGTTGAACCTCAAGAATGTGCCGGAAACGCTGTACGCTTTCGTACACCGCCAGGAGTTCGCGATGGTAAGCAGGCCATTGCGACTGCTTGGGCGTCAGCTTCCTGCTGAAAAACGACAGCGGGCACCACTGTCCATTGATCAGCTGTTGTAGACAGGCGCCGATATGCACGCTAGACGCATCTGTAAAGAGGCCCAAAGGTGCGTCATTTACAGGATGCGTGAGTAATGTCGCGTCCGATAGACTCCTCTTGCAGTCTTCAAAAGCTTGCAACAACTCGGTCGTCCATGTGTATGGTGTAGAGCCCTTGCCATTAATCTCGACCAGGGCATCTACCAGTTGCGCTTGAAACTTAGCGGCATGAGGGATGAAACGGCGATAGTAATTTATCATACCGAGGAAACGTCTCACGCCTTGCACGGTGTTAGGAGGGGGAAAATCTAATAGTTTTTGAACGCGATCCAGAGGAGGACGCGTACCGTTAGCGTTGATGAGATATCCGAGGAATATAACCTCGCTGGCACCAAGAATGCACTTAGATGGATTGATCACTACCCCGTAATCCTGTAGGCGTTTGAAGAGGATACGCAGATGCTTTCTGTGGCTGTCCTCGTCCGCTGAAAAAACGAGCACATCGTCGATATAAGGAAAACAGAAATCGAGACCCCGTGTGACCTCGTCGATAAACCGCTGGAAGGTTTGACCAGCATTGCGGAGCCCGAAGGTCATGAAAGGAAACTCGAAGAGGCCAAACGGGGTAACGATGGCGGTCTTCGCGATATCCTCTTCAAACACGGGAATCTGATGGTACGCTTTCACTAGGTCAATAGTGCTGAAAACTGTGGCTCCAGCGAGGCTGCAGGCGAAGTCGTTGATATGCCGAACGGGGTATCTATCCGGTATGGTCCTAGCGTTCAATGCGCGATAATCGCCGCAAGGACGCCAAGTGTTGTCTTTTTTGGGTGTCATGTACAGAGGTGACGACCAAGCACTCTTAGAGGATCTTGCTGTGCCGCATCGTACCATGTCTTCAAATTCTTTTTGGGCGGCAGTAAGTTTTTGAGGTGCCAGGTGACGGGGGCGACACGACACAGGAGGTCCGTCTGTAGTTTTTATGTAATGCACAGTGCTGTGCTTGATGATTCTAGGTAGGCCAGGTGGGCGCGTGATATCGGGAAACTCAGTAAGTATATGCGTATATCTAGAGTCATTAGAAACAACGGCCTTGACACTGGTTTGACTGGAAGTTGCGATGGAAGCAGGAATAGATAAGCTGGTGCTACCATCTATGAGACGTTTGCTTCGGCAGTCCGGTAATAAGTTGTAATGACTTAAAAAATCGGAGCCGATAATCGGTGAGTCAACTTCCGCAACGACGAAATTCCAATGGAAATCCCGGCGCAACCCTAGATTAAGATGCAACGATATGTTGCCATAGGTCTTAATAGAGCTCCCATTTGCAGCGCTAAGATCAAAACCTGTAGAAGCACGACGATCTTTTACGAGACGTTTAGGAAAACAACAGAGGTCCGAGCCAGTATCCACTAGATACTGGAGTTTCGAACGTTTATCTGTGACGAAAAGTCGGCGGCTTTGATGAGAACAATCAGTCGCCGCGTTTACTGACTGTTGTTGCTGTTTTCCGACAGCGTGGTGTTAGGCTGCCAGCTGCAAGGTTTAGTACATTTGGTTGCCTTGCTATTGAATATTTTATGGTACCAACACATACCTGAATTTCCAGGTGAGGCACCGCGAGAACGCTGTCTAGAGATAGATTTGCTGCGTGAGCGACCGCGAGGACGCGAGGTGGAAAGAGATGCAACTTGCTTGCGTAAGTCTTCCACTGCCTTTACTAAGGCGTCCAGTACCGATGATGCTGGTGCTGGCATCGCACAGGAGTACACCTGGTTGCTGGGGCCTGATATCTCTGTGACCTTATCGGCAAGGTCTGCTAATTTGTCCAGACTCAGTTCAGTTTGAGAGGCTAAAATAGCCTGAATGTTCTGAGGAAGACGGCGCATCCAAAGCTGGCGCAAAATATTTTCATCAGTAAGGGTATTACCAGCTAGCGAACGCAAATGCCGGAGAAACTGCGATGGTCGCCTGTCTCCGAGCTCTTCTACACTAATAAGCTGACGTACCCGCTGTTCTTCTGACATTGAGAGACGTCTAACTAATTCGTCTTTAACTTTTTGATACCTTTGGCCTATGGGTGGGGGTCTGGTAATTATATCCTCGATCTCCCCAGCTAGCCTTTGATCTAATCTTCCTATAACATAATTGTATTTCGTGTTATCAGCAACAATGCCTGCGATTTCAAACTGTGCTTCTACCTGCCCGAACCATACTGCTGGTTTGTCAGGCCAGAAAGGTGGCAACTTAACGGCGACCTTGCACACTGCTTGTTCTTCAGATTTGGGTGATGATTCAGATGCAGACCCAAAGTTAGTCAATTTCTGTTGAAGAGCTGCATTCTCCAATGTCAGCTGTTGCAATCGCTGTTCTAAATCCTTGTCAGCCATTATACCACACAACCAAGCAGGACAAAACAACAAGACAAAAAGAAAACAACGTTAAAAGTTTAGGTAGCTGTTGGAGAGGTGCAGAGGCAAAGACAATCACACGGTTAATATAAAGGTAAGCAACCCGTTAATATTAATTATGCACAATAATAATTAATTTAAAACACAAAAAAAATAATTAAAAAAATGTACACAGGTATAGTCCGTCTAAAAAGAGTAGACAAAAAATGAGGGCGCCACTGTCGTTTAACTGGTCTCCCCAATAATATATAATAACTGGTTTTGATACTTGCTAATTATTTATTGTATTATTGGCATTAATATTTGGTAATGTATGTATGTATTTGTGTATGTATGTATTTATGTATGTATGTATATATGTATGTATGTATATATGTATGTGTATAAGTATGTATTTATACAAGTACACCGCCTACCATTTTTATATACTGATTCCTCTACCCTAAGGTTGCCTGGAAGAGATCGCTTCTAGCGATAAGGCCGCCTGCTGTGCATCTTTTTATTGTTATGTATTTCACTTCTTTATTTATTTTCTTGTGTGGTGTGCAATAAAGTGTTCATTATTATTATTATTATTAATGATTCTAATCTAACTTTGTATTTCATATAACCACTTTACTTCACAACTTGTGATATTCTACTAATACATATTATTTTAAATGCGAATGATTGTGAGGATGAATAGACGCATGTATGTTTATTACTCATTCACGCAAAAACTACTGAACGGATTTGGATGAAACGTGGCACATGAATAGATTATTACCTGGAATAATTTATAAGCTACATTAATCTTCTCTGTATTCACACGGAAACGAGAACTACGTGGCGAACTACTAGAAGGCATAAATAGTAAAATAATAAAACAAGAGTTAAGTGTTATTAATAAAATATTTATTTATAAAATTAGTCGTCCAACATATCAAAATCTAAATATTCGACACCAGACATGTTGTCATCTATTGCCCCAGGAGAATCTTGGCGAGAAGTACTAGGCAGACAAGAACCTTCTGATTCTGGTTCAGACTCACTGCTACTGCTGCTGGTATCCTCACCAACTCTTATAATTAATTTTTCTATATTTTGATACAGCGTTGGGCCTCTTTCAATGTACTCCATTTCAATTTTTTTGACATGGTCACAACATGATTTCCAATCTGCTGAAGTTATAGAAGCAAAGGCCTCTTCAGTTAATTGTTTTATATCTCTGGATCCAACATTTTGTGCTGCCACTTTTCTTTTTGCCAAAGACCATATAAGTTCAATTGGATTCAGGTCGCAGTGATAGGGTGGCAGCCTTACTACTGTATGTCCATGCTCGCTCAGTAACTCGTCAATTTCATAAACTGGTTCTGGTTTATTTTTTTTCACCAAATCATAAAGCATGGGTTTTCGTAGGGTCGGATCAAAATGAATATTATTCTCTTCGAGCCATAATTTAATTTCGGCAATCGTGCTGGATGTTGTGGGAGCCTTATTTTTCACAATCGAGTGATATGGGGCATTGTCCATTACAATAATAGAAGGATATTCAAGATTTGGAATGAGCTTTTTGGTTACCCACTTACTAAAGTTTGTTCTATTCATTTCTGAATGATAGTCTTCCTGTTTGTTATTTCCACTAAAAATTAGAAGAGAGTTCGGTACAAACCCCTTTTCACTTCCTGCATTGATGAGAATCCATCTTTTCCCTTTTGAAATATCTTGAATAACTCCTTCGGTTTCAATAGATTGCCAACATTTTTTTAATTTGTATGATGAGTGAATATAACTTTCATCTACATATATAATTTCTTTTTGCAAGTCTTCGGGTAAGTTACGGTTGTCCATAATAACTTTTAAATATTTTTCCCTTTTAATACAAATATTAGTATTTTCAATTAAAGCTTTTCTGTTTGATTTACATTTTTTGTATTTAAAACCAATAGATTTTAAAATTTTGTGTAAATGGGCTCGACTTCCATTGAAACCAAGGTCTTCTCTTACCATGGCTAGTATTTTATTAAGTGTAGGGACTTCTTTTTTTACACTATAGAAATAATGCACTTTTTGTCGGATTGCACACTGGTCAAAATCGTCTAATTCTTTTCTTGGTCGTCCCTTTCTATGTTTAGCAGGAGTATTAAATATTCCTTTAGTTTTGGATCCTTCCGAAACTATTCGTCGCACTGTACTCTCGGATTTACCTGAAAATAATAATTTTATTGTAAAGTATCAAAACTAGTCACAAAAAAAAACACTATAAGTATGTTTCATTTTCATAACCTTAACTGTAGATATAAAAAGTAAATATTTCATGATAAGACCACTCTTAATAAGACATTAGTATTTAAAAGAGTGTAAAGTGAAATAAAAGTACTATATTAATTCATAATTTACCCGTCAGATCCGCTGTTCGTTTATAAACATGTTCCATCTGCGTAAGCAATCTACCGGCTTTGAATTCGTCTAAACATCGCATAAACACTTTGTATATCACTTCACGAGTGCTGCTGCGAATTGTTTTATTCATTTTTCAATTGTTTATATTAAGTTTTTGGATAACAAGTAGAATATAAGCAATATTTCAAATGAAAGCAAACAATGTTTACGTTACAATGACAAGCAAGTGACAAGAATTGACAAGATTGACTTTTAATGTAATCTTGCCAGCCACAGAATATTGTTAGTTCCGCAAACATTAATTTCTACTCTTTTTAGATAGACTGTATCTTCACGAAGCAAAAACTTAATACTGGCAAGCAATGTTGAATCCGAGCATTGTTTAGAAAGTAAAATTTTTATGATAATACAAAATAGTATTATTTTATCAAACACACAAGAATTCAGAAATAAAGTTTAGTAGTACATGCTTAAATGTAACCTTAACCCTAATTAGTATAATAGAAATTAAGTTCTTATTTTTATGGTGTAATAATCAAAACCAACTTTATAAGTAACACATACAATATTAAAGGCAGTAAACATAGACACTATTCTTTAAATGTATATAAAAAAAATGTATAACTTATGGTAATGTAAAAACCTTAATATTTTTATTAAAATGAACAAGTTATGAAACAAAACAAATGAGCCTTAATATGTTAAAAGTTAAAACCATAGAAATGCAATCAAAGAAACCTGACATAGGTATATGCGAATATAATACAAATATCGTTTTAAATATATTATGTAAGGCAATCAGCTGAAATTATAATTTTCACACAAAACACAATGCAAAGTCAGAGTTTTTGTAATAGGTTGAACAATGTTTATGCGTAAATAGCAGGATTACTCGTAGAATTACTTACGTAAGTAGAGTTCAAACTTTTGATTATAGGTAGTCCGAACTATACGAATAACTATCGATGCACTCTTTGACGAAGATCATGACGATTTGACAGATTATGACGACTAGGAAGACACGTTGACAATTCGTAGGAACGTAATCACATTAGGTTATCTGTGCTTGTGGCATTAACATTATCTGTGACTCGATCGATAAAAGCGGGCAACACTCGTTGAGTTTTCCGCTACTCGTCGCTAGGTGGCGCTAGATGGCGGGTACATGGTTGTGCCGTCGTTGCTATGGGCGTTGTCCCATATTGAGAACTCGCAAACCTGCAGAATTCTGTTGAAGTTTGTTGTTCCTCGGACTGGCTTGGACGATTAATGCATTATTGGAAGTCGTGGTCACCAATGCGGGGGTTTAGTGCTCCCACCGCTGCCGGTTATGCTCCGGCAGAAAATAATTATCTCCGTTGCGGTCCCCGTAGCCCAGTCCAAGTGAAACCATTTATGTACTTGTTTTCATGTTTATTTATTCTCATAAGCACACAATAACTATAACAAGCACTTATACATTATATCTATGTACAATATTATAAAACTAATGATAATCAATGTTACACCAACGTGTTACGTGCCTCTCGAGCGACTCTTGTCTGAGCTCTGCGGGGAAGCGAGGGACGGGTAGCGGCGAATATAGCCGCACGTTTCCGAGCTCGCCCGCGGGGCGCGTTCGTAACTCAGTGGCGATTTGCGTTTGTCGCCACAAAATTAAGGGTGGCCCGATTTTTTTGCACGCCAGTGTATATTTACGGTGACATGTATTTGTCGTTTTTTTGTAATTTATATGTTTAAACAATTTTCTTTTTCTGCGATACTTGTAATCTAAGGTGCTCATTTTGCCCTTAGGACTTTGCCCGACAATTGTTTTACACACATGGAAACAGGTTTTCTGTTAGTATTAAAGTTGAATGCAGACGCTGAACATCGAGTTTGGTATCCACAAATTTGGCCACCACACTATGAAAACTTTCCACGATGTTACTGTCAACATCATTAATGACACTTCTGGAATGCCCTGCAATAGTATTAACAAAGAAACATATTTTCTGCCTTAAGGAACTTGTAAAAAATGCTTGCGGTAAGATTTCAACATTTTGTAGACTGTTACAAAAATGGGTTTTACATTTGGTATGGTTACCAAAGGCATGTAAATGTACTGTCTGGATGTCTTCAAAAAGTTTCTGAGTGCTAAAATCTAAATTTTCTAACGATTGATTGATTGATGATGCGTTTTTTTGTGATCAATTTTCTAGAACTTATAGGATATTTCGTATCAGTGGTCAGTTTTTCTAATTTGTTGCAAAGTTTCTTAGAAGGTGGTTCCTACATTCAACCTTTTCAACAGTAAATTGTGGATAAGGTCTTGCTTCTATAATTTTCGCATACGTGCTAGACTCTCCATCAGAAATGAGGCGATCATAAATCAGACCATGCATTTGGATAGATGCTTATATACAATTTCCTAATTTTTCCTCCTAGGAATATTAATTAGGGTCTATACTATTTATCCCTTTCAGACCTGACACTAAACGGCAAGCTATTTCACACCGAAAGTTATTGTCTCTAGCTAATTTGGGGTTGCTGAAAACGAATCTAGGTAAACTGAAAATCGGTTTTTCAGGATGCTCACAATTGTGAGGGATCGGGCCAAGTTTTGGTACACTCAAGATTGTGAGGGTTGATAAATAAGAACATTTAATACAGAAAATTAACTTTAATCACCATGCAACTTATCAAAATTATTATAAAACTAACAGGATTATTTATTTAAAATTCATATCAGCCTTTTTTTTCTTAGACATAATCAACATAATTAGCATTCATTACTTATGAGGAACAATTTCTCAGTCTTAATCATAATTCTCTTTTTGGACGTAATTTTAATCACATTTTTATTAATTATAACTCCCTCCTTATTTCTCTTTATGAAATACGCGAAAGCCCTGCTTATCTTTGGTATTATAAAGATAAACGTTGCACTTTGTGCATCTAACTTTTGACCGACTGCTGCAGCTGAAGAACTGCAGCAATCGGTCAAAAGTTAGATGCGCAACAGTTAGAGTTACAACATTGTGGCGCTTTTATTGTGTCACATATTGGCCAGTGATTATATCCCTCTAGTCTTTTATCCATTGTTGGAAACGTAGCTAGTTTGTAATGAGATGTTTCAGGCATCTCAACCAGATCGTCTGTAGAATCACGTTGCCTCTTTCTATTAGTTCCACCGAGCCAAAAATCATATCGAAGAGAAGCATGAATACTTTTACAGGCCACTTCCTTGTTATGTGCCAAGACCTGTATGCTTTCAACGTCTGATCACCGACATCTACTCCGTCATGTTCTTGTTATAGGGCATAGGACAGTCCCCCCCAACGTGCGTTCACCTTGTCGTGGTGGGGGGGCTCAGTAGTGCCCGGCAACCCAACCGGGCGCGAAGCCAAGAAACGCACAGGGAGGTGGCCCACTTCGGTGGGCGGTGGGAGGTGGCTCTCTTCGGAGGGCGGTGTACCATGCGGGTTGCTCCTGGTACTTCTCTGATAGCAGAGTGGACTGTGGAGCAACCCCGTGGTTGTTGTGGTCTGCTTCGGCAGACCTGCCGTCGGGGCGTCGTAGTTGAATGCGTAAGCGATCCTGCGACGCCGCATTAAGACGGGGGAAGGTTTTGTTGGGTTTTAGTGGGTAGTACTGGCTTCGCCGGTGAGTCCCACACTTCGTGCGTAAATGCATTTCCCAACGTTAAAAAAAAAAAAAGGGCATAGGACAGTGATATAGCTTTTGCTTACACACACTCGTTCTCCACAAGCTGAGTACCGAGGCAAGTGGAAGCCATCAATATAGATTTACTATCTTTCTATTTAACTACGCAAACTTTTCTTTCACTGCGTTTACTACTTCTTCATAGTCACCCTGCTTCATTTGTGAATCCTTCGTAAATAAATAACCTTTGTATCTGTTAGTTATCAGAGTCCCAGTGCCATCTATTTACTCAGCAATCAATTTCTGCATCAGGGGAATGGTCATGAAATAGCGGTCGAAAAATATAAAACTACCTTTAGACATTATAGATATCAATCAATCAAGCTGGTGCTGCTACAATAGGAGCCCTAACATCTTCCTCCTATTCTTCTTAAGATGGGCTGTCAGGATCTTCCCCTGGCGGCACCCAATTTTCGTTTTCATCGGCGTCGTTACCGAAGTCTAGAGTCATTTATTGCGTCCATAACAGCATCATCGTCAAGTACTAAATTCTTCTACTCGTGGTGATTGTAACATCGAAATAATACCTAAAATAAACCAAAAAAAAACAGTTTTTTATTTGTACTAAAATACTAACAAAATGTAGAGTACAAACCGAGCCCTCACATTTGTGAGATTTATTTTTGCGGCATCAGAATCATAATCACGTAATCAGTAATTCACTATTTTTCATCTCACAGGCTATTTTGCACTCATTCTTAACACAATAAAATAAAAACAAACACAAATAATGTTCATCATAAAGAAAAATGTAATCACCACGATGACAGGTCGCGACACGTTCATCTCGCGTGGACTCGGTCCCACTTTGACTCACAGAGACGACAGGTGCCGCCGCGATAAAAATCATAGGCATAAAGGACTACACTCATAATCGTGCGAGCTGGTGACAAAAGTGAGTACAGGGTCCGAAAGGGTTATGTCAATAAAGTTCACTAAGCTCTTTCATTAAAGTCCAGACTCGGGGTATTTATGTTATTGTATATCGATTTTAGGGGAAAAAACTTTTTTTAGGGTGGGGAGGGGAAGGAAGGCCGGGGAGGGGGTTAGCTTAGATTTAATGATAGGGAGTTGTAGGGCAGGCTGAGACCTTTTAAATGAGTCCAAACTCGGGGTCCGTAAGTCAGTTTTCGAATGAGTTGGGCAACTTTTTAAGTTTTTGGAGTTTTGTGGGGTTGTTATAGGGAATTTCGAATAATTTAATTTTGTGTAGGGTTATTGTAGGTCCGTCTGTAATATATATTTTTAACACCAAAATCGTAGGAGTGGGATTTTATTTAGACAGGTTTTTTGGGGGTTATTTTAAATTTTTACTAATAGGGGTTCTCGATGTGGTTTTTCAGCTCCTGTCGCCCGACACCAATTTCATCAAAGTCGGTCAAGTAGTTTCGGAGATATTTGTGTTTTTTATAGAGGGGTTGTCTGTGTGTGGAGGGCGAGAGGGGGGGGGGTCTCGTGGGTAGCACTTGGGGGTGTTTTGGGGGGTAGGGGGCGATGAGGAATATCAAGGAGTGGACAAGCTGAGGCGAACGGGAAAGGAGTTATTGGGGATCCAAATTTAGGGGAGGTCGGGGAGTCTTTAGTAAAAAATTAAAATTTTTAATCGAGGGGTTTTTTTTATTTTATTTTATTTTCTAAACCTCCAACATGGGGGAAGGAGTCTATATTTACTAATTCTTTCATACCAGTTCTCGCATTTTTGTCTCTCGCACTTCCATTCCGCATACTTTGTCTTTCTGTCATTCATCCGCATTTATTCATAAGCCATCTATTTTTATTTTTCTTTATTTCTTATACTATCAACTCCGGCATAATGAGTGGGGATAATCAGTAATTCTTTATTTAAATTATAGGGCGTAACTTAGATATACTCTGATTTGTATGTCTATTTTAACATCGTACATCTAATTTATTGATTTTAATTGCCGTTTAATATAAATAATTAATTACTTCTTTAGAAGCCCCCCTCGCCGCACCGCCGACGCAGGCGCAGGTTCGTTGCAGCGAGGCACGCGGCAGTAGTCGACAAACAGATCGCGACGCGGAGCGCACGCTTGTCCATGCGAGAATATATAGTTGTTTTTTCATTAAAACCTACTTACTACACTTTTTATTTAATTACTTTTAAAACAAATTTAATCTTACAGAAATATTTGTTCTAGAATCTAGACTAATCCTACTTATATACTATATACATTGTTTATGTTTCTACTAATATACTACATTATATTTGTATAACATAATTTTTCTAGCTCTTATTCCTATTACACGGGTCAACACGAATTTTGAGTCTGCGTTCTGTACCTCTGATTTTGATTACTTATGCCTAACTAATTAAAGAAAAAATATTTTTATCTATTAAAGTTTGCTTTTGTAGTTACTACAACGAAATTTATTTTTTATGAAAGAGCTCTATTTTTTAATTTCAATTATTACATGTAAAAGGAAAACAGTTTTGAATTCACATTTTTTTATTGACTTTAATTATACAAGACGGCATATATAAACTCACAAATACAAAAAATAATACAAATAAGACTTTAAAAATGAACAGACTTGGTATTTCTTCTGTGTAAGTTGGAACTTTTTCGTATGAGCCCCCAAATGTAGTCACCCATCATGTTTTCATTATATTGTCCTTGATAACGCTTTTCAAAGTTCATTACATCTTGGTGGAAACGTTCCCCTTGCTCTTCCGAATATGCACCTAAGTTGTCTTTAAAGTTATCCAAATGAGCATGTATCATGTGGACTTTCAATGACATTCTGCAACCCATAACTTTGAAGTTGTGAAGCATATCAGTAATAAGCTCCGTGTAATTCTTTGCCCTTCTGTTGCCAAGAAAGCCATTAATCACTGCTTTAAGGCTGAGCCACGCTTGTTTTTCGTGGGTACTGAGGAACTGTAGGAATTGTTCACTGGCCATTATTTTCTTTATTTGTGGACCAATGAAAATACCAGCTTTAATTTTAGCCTCTGACAATTTCGGGAAAAATGATTTAAAATATTGAAAGGCCTCAGAGTCTTGACGCAGAGCCTTTACGAACTGCTTCATCAGACCTAATTTAATGTGCAATGGAGGCATTAAAATATGATCGGGCTTCACAATCGGTTCATTTTTGACATTATGTTGTCCTATTTGAAACTCGCTCCGTTGTGGCCATGAGTGCTGCTGGTAGTGAAGTGCATCGGCTCTACTGTCCCATAAACAAATGTAACACGGATATTTAGTGTACCCGCCTTGCATTCCTATCAGAAATCCAACCATTTTGAAATCTCCTATCACTGGCCAGGCGTACTCTTCATATTTTAAACTTGTAGCAACATTTTAACGCTCTCGTAATTTTCTTTAAGCATTACAGAATGAGCAAGGGGAAGAGATGGAAATTTATTTCCATTGTGAAGAAGAACTGCCGTTAAGCTTTTTGTAGAGCTGTCGATGAAAAGACGCCATTCAGAGGGAATGCAAGGCATTCCGATTGCTTCAAACAAACCTTTCACATCATTGCAATAACAAAGTCCGTCTTCTTTTGTAAAGAATCCAGAAAATGTTTTATGACGTGTTCTTTGGTCACTTATTTTAACATCGCTCTTGAGCAAATTCCATTGTTTTAGTCGTGAAGCTAATATTTCTGCTTTAAGTTTAGGTAGATTTAAATCTCTTACTAAGTCATCAAACTCTTCTGAATTAATTAGATGTGGTTCAACAGATGGTGATGTGATCACGAACTCGCTGTCTCCGCTATTACTAGATATTTGTGATAGCGGTAACTGCTCTTCTGCCTTCCGCTTTGGGTTCGAAGGCACAGGGAAGTTTTCACTGTGGGGTACTGGAGCAGACGTTGATGGTAGGTTTGGGTATTTAATCTTTTTGGCATTTTTACCAGCGCGACGCTTATTTGGATTTACTACACAAAAATAACAATCATGGATATGGTCAGTTGGTTCCCTCCATATTCTTGGTACAGCAAACTTCATCCTTTTTTTTTCTCCACGGTACCAGGCTGAAAAAAAATTGACATTATTTAATAACGAATGACACATTTAATGTGTGTCAGAATAGGTATAGTTATATATATATAAATTTTAATGAAAAGTATGATGTATTTTCTTACCCTCTAAAGTATTTTTGCAGTTACTACATGAGAAATGAGGTGCCCATACTTTATCTTGACTTCGCACGGGTAAATTAAAATAAGCTTCATAGGCTTCACAAAGTCTTGTATTTGACGACAAACAAATTTTTTTGGCTCTCACTTTAATGAATTCGCCGCAAATATAACAAAAAGAGTCCACGGGATTTTTGCACTTTTTGGAAGACATTTTAGGCCTCCCGACACATAAAATACGTTATTCCTTTGCAAAGCGCACGCGCACACTGCCGTTGACAGTTTGTCACTCCCGCTACACACCTATAGCCCCCCCTGCGCCTCTCCTGTATCTTCTATGCAACGGTTCCTAAAAAAACTGCTAAAACACTATAATATTCGTTTTACATTGTGTAAAGGTACAAAAGCAAACTTTATTTATTATAAATAGAGTTTCTGCTTCTTTTTCGATGTATACAATCAGAAAATATTCACTAAATAACAGACTCAAAGAAAAATATATTTTTTGTTGACTTGTGTTATTTACAATTCTACATAATTTATTACAATATTGCAGGAATATGTCTCTATTTTTGTTATCTTTAAGAATTTTTGGTAGTGCGTTTATCTCAAGTTTTTGTCTAATTTTTATTTCCACTTAAATCTATCGCTGTCATGTACCGGACACTAAAAGAACTTGGAGGGCCGACTCTGGACACCCAGGGTCGCAGACGCACGACGGACTCTCCTTGCACTTGAAACGATGCAAGTACTCGGAGAATCCGCCGTGCCCTGTGAACATCTGGGTGACAAGTCTGTCCACCTCTATCTTACCAATTGTCCTGTACGCAGCTGTCGCATCGGGGAAGAAAATCTTGGTAACACTTGCCGTGTCGCCGTCTTGATATCGCTGGTTCCATTCATCAAGCGATCGCATACAAATGCTCCGCTTGATGAATGAAACCGGGCAGCTGTCGTAGTCAGGGGTGCGCTTCAATTTTAGCGCGGCTTCCTTGGCCAAAAAGTCGGTACGCTCGTTCCCCTCTAGGCCTGCGTGGGCCTTGATCCAGAATAAATTTACCTGTTTATTCTGGAGCAAGGCTCTCCTCAGGTGGCCCCTCGTCTCGACGGCCAGGGGATGAAGGGCTTTTATGTTTGTAACGGTTTGGAGTGCCGACATGGAATCGGAGTATATTTCGACTGTTTTGGCCAAGTTTTCTGCAGACATCTGCGCTGCCCTGCATATCGCCAGAAGCTCCGCCTGGTAGACCGTACAGACGGACGGTAGAGCAACCTTGAGGGCTTTGGTTTCGGCAGCGCCGCTCCATGCGGATAGCGCCGCACCCACTTTGCCCTCAATCTTGCTCCCGTCCGTAAAGATGTTAATGTCATGGCCACTGTGACTCATGAATTGTTCTTGGTCAGCCAGGCACTTGAGTTCCAGGTCGATTTGCTCGGCGGGGTGAGGTAACTGCAGCGCAGGGTACATCCGCTCGACCTCCCGATCCCCTGTCTCTCGCTGGGGCACTCCTCTCTTCGCCCCATACAGCGCCGCGGCTTCGCGGACATGCAAGTCGAGGGGGAGTATCCCAGCGAGCAACAGTGTCGAGTTCAGGGAGGTGGTGCGGTAAGCCCGGCACAGCTTCTGTGCGAAGCTCCGCTGGACTACGTTCAGCTGTTTGCGAATGCCTAGTTTGTTGACTGCCGGCTCCCATACGGCAGTCGCGTACATGATTACGGGTTTTACCACCGCTCTGTAGATGGATCGGATAACTTCTGGGTGGAGGCCCCAGCTCGCTTTTGCGACTCTCGAAAGCTGTGCGTAGAAGGCTATCGCCTTCTTGCAGACATTTGCGACGTGCGTGTTGAAAGTGAGGTGCTGGTCTAAGACAACTCCCAGTAACATGAGTTCTCTGACCATGCCAATGTCGACTTCGCCCATGTGGAGGCGTGGGGTGTCATGTTTCAATTTGCGTGTGATGACCATCGCACTGGTCTTTTGTGGCGTAAACCTTAGCTTATTAAGGACTCCCCACTCCCTCACACGTTCGAGGGCGGCATTGGCTTGGTGTTCGTCCTCATGAGCATTACTGTGGTGTCATAATAGGGTGATGTCATTAACCTACTTTAAGTTAGTATTTAAGCTATTATATCTTATTATATTAGAGACATATTAAAGTGTATTCGACAAGTATTGCTCGACGCCCCGATCTCCCATGTGTTTTAACATTAGATCTGGAATCGTGACAATGGGATCTTCGAAATAAATAAGTCTGGACTGCTGAGTAGTCAGTAACGCGATGGATCTCAACCCTCTTCGAGCGTATTCCATCTTTTAACGCAATGTGTATTTCCTTATTAACTGAATCACTTGTGTCTACCTGGAACAAAGCCAATCCTAGTTTGCATTCGTCTGTCATCTCAAGATGCCCGTTCCAGTCGCTCGCCACTAAGGGCCGCGTTCGAGTTACGGCTCTATGGAGTCTAGCTTCCTCTATATCATATGGTCTTGCGCTATCACGCGCAACTCTAATGCTACTTTCACGTGGGAGCGTAGCCTGCACAGTACGCTCGGTTTGAACTGTCTTTTGAGCTCTCGCTCGACCTCTTTGAACAATGCCTCCATAAGCACGTACCGGCTGCATAACGCTAACGTTTTGAAACAACACTATTCTTTTCCAAAATTCGAAAACTGCTCTCACTCTTTGGTTGCACCCAGGAGTAAGAGACGAAGCGTATATTATAAGGAAGGAAGGGTTATTAATACTAAATAAATAGATTAAAGGCTTGTGATCCGTTTTGATTGTAAAGGGTATAGCGAGGTAAGGAGCACGAAATGGCCCCCACGGCCCATGACGGAATTATCATTTGTACTGGTATTGGCACTCTAAAACAATACGAAATGTAAGGTCGTTGACCCCTGACCTGGACCTGTTTTTGAGATATTCGAGAAAGTTCGTATGCGCGCCGATTTTTTTCATAATTTTTTTTCCGAAAAACTATAAAAGCTAGAAGGATGGGACCAATTGCGTATAATGAGGGATACTTTGAAAAATATTCTGTATTTTTTTCAGAGTTCTCGTGAAATGACAACTGTGTAAAATAATTAAACAAAATATAAATATTTTTTTTTAGTACTGTTCTATTATGTCTACCGCGCCAAAAAAAATATATAATACTCTTTGATTTATATACTTATACCATACAAAAGCTGATCAAAATCAAAGAGGCGCTTCTTGAGTAATTATGAGAATTACTTAGTGTGCGTACGGCTGGTAGGAACTAATTAAAGAGGTCATTTTTGGATTAATTATTATAATTACATGTTGAACATAATTTTAATCATCATCATCACTATTTTCATTTATCACAACATTGACTGCATAATTTGAAAATATTTTCGACAGAATTTCAGCAGGACGTAAAATGCGAGATAGATATCTCGCATGAGCTAAATAATATATTACACTTGCGACATGAGCGCAGCATCCAACTGTCCTGTTTCCATTCGGACAATCACAACAATATCCTCGGATTCCTTCGACACTGTTCATATTTAGGAACATAATCAATGAACAATCGGTAATATTTACTATTTACATGTCTGGAACGAACATTTAACTTGATGATAGTTGGGGTTTGTTTGACGTAATATATATAGAGATTGCTCTTGTCGTCCATTATTTCAGCGAGGTATGAAACAGCTAATGAGAGCTGATAGGAACCTGTAAATAATATTCTTAATTGTTCTTCGTTTAGTCTTGGAAAATCTAAAATTTCTGATGACACCAGTTGTTGAAAAGCCGTTTTTCTTCGATTCCAGTGCTGCTTTTCTACCTCTTCACTTAAAGAATTTGGTAACGCCAGTCGCTCTTTAAAGTATTGAACAATTGTCTCATTTAAGCCTGTATCAGAATCCAATCGCTTACTGAATTTGTTGTGTAAAAATCCAACAACTTTGCATAATAGACTTACTTTTGGAAGCATTTTATTATCAAGATTGTTATGAAGCAAATTATATTTCTGAGCAATAGCTCCGTGCACAGCTTCGACTACCCATCGGATTTTAGTCACTTGTCGTGACATATTGGCTTCATCGGTAGGTAACTGGGCTCGATTACCTTTAATCGCCGGCATTAACACGGTGTAGCCTTCTTTGGTGATGTCGCCAACGGCGTCACGAAATCCACGATCTACGACAAATACATCATTCCGACGTAATAGAGTTTTAAGTTTAGCATCCTGTAACACTTTCTTCATAATAGTGGCATCATTTTCCGTTCCGTAAAATGGCCCAGCAAAATCAACTATAAACCCGTTCGTAGTACAGATTGTGAACGGTTTGCATAAATGGGTTTTCTTTTGCCCAGAATACGATTTTCTCTGGTATTCATTGTTAAAACTTTTTTGATGCCTGATATAAGTGCCGTCAAATATCAATACCAGCTGATCATCTCTAAGGTTCAATAACATTCGAGCTGTTAAACTTGTGTTCTTTATTAAATCTTATCGAGAAACGGAGGTTAATCCAAAATGAAGCAAAATATCAGTCTTAAAACTTCTTAATACTTCCTTAAAAAATGTCGACACATGTTGTTCGTATGGTAAACCCAGCACTCCTGCTATCACTGAATTAGAATTTCCAGTTTTTAATTTAAACAAGAATACAACTAACGCTTGAGTCACAGTGCGTATGCTTGTGTTTCGCATAGAAGTCAATAGCTGTCTTAATTCAATAATGTTTTGCCGACAAAGCCCTGTCAATATCCTTATCTGATTTTCAGACATATCATTTTCAATTTTGTCGAAAAGCGACATCCCTGCTCTTTCTGAAAGTGATTTTAAAAAATGAGCAACTTCTTTAGAGTTCATTTTACTGGTGTTAGATACTACACGTAGGTGCACCAACTCGTCTTTATAAAAGTTTTTTCCTATTATATGTGTGCAGCAACAACGGTTATCCTCTGGTATAAAAATCCCAATGTTTGTATAAGCCTCGTAACGCGCTTCAAAAGGTACTCGCATTAAGTTTGTTGTGGATCGACATATACAACAATACTTGTGGGTGGATACAACACGTGGTATATGTACATATATAAATTCGTCGTTTTGGGCAACATGCGAAAAAACATCATCGCCATCATCATCATCATCATCGTGGTCGCTTTCGGAACTGCATGGTAAATTCATTTCACATTCTTGTTGGAATGAAGCATTAGAAGATGTTTCCCCAACTGCTAAGTGTTCACCAGACTCCTGTTCGCCTTCACACTCTACCAGGGTAGATGCCGCAGAAGTTGATGCAACGTTTGATTTGCTATTGTAAATAATTAGCCGACACTTTCCACACAATACGTCACCAACAGAAACTGTTTTTTTACTCGAGTCACTATATAGTCTAGCGTCCTCTTCACTAGTGATAACTTTTTTTCTTCCGCGAACTTTATGCACGAAAGTGTCACAAATAATACAGTTCACAAACATTGTTATCACCCGTGGTTATCACCATACAACTTGCGACAGGCATACGCAATTATTCTCACCGAATGACCTATTAGGTAATTTATATTTGTGTGTGGTTTCCTTAACACGGAAGACTAAAGCAACCATGCGTGAAATCGTATTTGTAATGACACGAATACACTTATAATAATCTATTGAACATGAATAAACACGTTTGTTTTCTAGTCCGCGCGAAGCGGCTGGGCGGGCGCCCACTGTACACGATCGAACAAGTTTTCTTTAGATATTACTCAAGAAGCGCCTCTTTGATTTTGATCAGCTTTTGTATGGTATAAGTATATAAATCAAAGAGTATTATATATTTTTTTTGGCGCGGTAGACATAATAGAACAGTACTAAAAAAATTATTTATATTTTGTTTAACTATTTTACACAGTTGTCATTTCACGAGAACTCTGAAAAAAATACAGAATATTTTTCAAAGTATCCCTCATTATACGCAATAGGTCCCATCCTTCTAGCTTTTATAGTTTTTCGGAAAAAAAATTATGAAAAAAATCGGCGCGCATACGAACTTTCTCGAATATCTCAAAGACAGGTCAAGGTCAGGGGTCAACGACCTTACATTTCGTATTGTTTTAGAGTGCCAATACCAGTACAAATGATAATTCCGTCATGGGCCGTGGGGGCCATTTCGTGCTCCTTACCTCGCTATACCCTTTCTTGCCAAATAAATAAGGTCGGAAATATTTCACAGACCAAACAATAGATAAAAGCTCTATTTCTATTGTTGGATAGTTCACCTCGGCTTTATTTAAAGAACGACTCGCATATGCTATTGGTAAATCATTTTTATTACATAATACCGAGCCTATAGCTAATCCGGAAGCATCTGTGCGCAATATAAATTCGTTTTCTTCATCAAAATTCGGATATTGTAAAATTTGTGGACTGATAAGGGATTGCTTAAGTTTATTAAATGAATTTTTGCATTCGGTACTCCACACAAAACTAGCACCTTTCCTACAAAGTTTGTTCAATGGTATAGTTATATTAGCGAAATTCGGGATAAATTTACGATAATAATTTTCGAAAGCTACAAACCGTCTAACTTCATCGACATTCTTCGGCGTTTGATAACATTGCAATACTCTGGTTTTTTTCTGGATCAGGTAAGATACCTTTAGAAGATACTACATGGCCTAAATATAACAGTTGCTTAGTTAAAAATTTACATTTTTCGGGATTTAGTTTTAAATTTACTTTCCGAAATCTCTCAAAAATGTCAATTAAATTATTATTATGGGAATTTAGGTTGCGTAATGTTAGCCAGCCAACTGGGAAAGGAACGGTCCATGAAATCGATGTTGTAATTGTTTGTCGTCAATAATGCGTAAATCGTGGCGTTGAGGTTTCCAGGAATATGTAATATTCCGAATTCCTTATAAATCATCTGACTGTCAAACTTGAGATAAAATTCGTTCAAGCTCAATAAGTCCGGATCACTACATAGCATTGATGGGAATGGGGATAGCTAAGATCTGATACGATGAACAAATTTGTATGGACTATGGGAACCGTATCTGCAGCACAGTATGTGACTGGTTGTAGACTATGTTTCCGTGGACTAGTGAATATGGTCTGTGTATAATGTATTCTTTAATTCCGACAGGGTTCTGTGGTTCCAATATCGTTGACGATATCCAGTGGTATTATTGGTTTTGGTCTTGGTCTGGGATGAACATCAATAAGTGTGCCAAGAAAAACTTAAATGCCACGAAATTCAACATGGTGTAATAATGTGTTTATCAACTGTTATGCCTAAAATATTATACAACTATACCTTACAACTAATATATACAACTTAATATCTAATCCGTACACCTTAATCGGTGCTGTAGTAGTGGTACACTATTCGCATACGCACTATCATTTTCTCACTACCCAAATGGTTGTAGAAGGAGACCAACCTCGAACAATTGTTCAGGGACATATTTGGTGGATATTCGAGTTTCAACAATTTGTTCATGAGTTGCGCAGGTGTTTCGTACTAATGTTCTGACTTAGGAGCCAAACTAGCAGAATACGTTACGTGTTCCTCGTTGTCTTCGAGACGAGCGGTTCCAGTGCCCCTAGTACGAGTTTACAAATGACACAAACGATGATAGTTTTCGTGAGCTCGATGAACTATATGGTTTTCGATGTAATCGGTAGTACGAGTTAAAGTTTTCGAATATAGTTTACACGATTTCGAACATCGACTAGCTCGATTGAACGAAGTTCACTTTATTCGCTTCATCTCTTTTACACACCGGCAAACTAAAAGAGACAAAAGTTCTCCTTCGATATTGTATAAATTGACGTTTTGGATTAAGTAAATTTTAAAACTTAGTTCGTTAGCGCGTTCGCTAAAATTATAACAATAATAAAATAATGATGAGAACCAGTGCTTCGCAGTTTGAAGTGATGATAGATTTTATGGAGAGGTATGTATCAATCTTTTCTTATATATAATATTTATATTTTTCTTTATATTATGTCTACCAATGCGTTAGAAAATTTGTTTTGATTACTTACAAATTTTTTTTGGGAATGGTGATTTTAATAAGCCAAGCGATGGCCCATGGCCATGGTTAGAAAGGCAATTGAGTCACTGAATATGTTGCATGGTTATTGTCAAACAGCTTCAGCATGCACCCTACTGGCAATGCGATCACGCAATAAGCGCCCTAGTGTCAACAGGGTAACATCATCCTCTACCTCATCATTTTCAGGGAAATCTTGATTATTAATTGTAAAATAAAAGAACCCTATTTATAATTTCTGTTTTGTAAATTACAGTCAATCATAAATTTAATACAAGGAAAACAAAATATGTGTATGTCACATTTTGAATAATTAAATTCTTATATACCTATTGTATTTTTTTTTTATTTTATCATAGATTACCTATTGTTTGTTCCTGAGGATCTGGCACTCCTAAATCCAGTGCTATGTTGTGCAACACACTGCATGCTAAAATAATTTGGGCACATTTTTCCGGCTTGTAGTGGAGCACCCTATCCTTACACAAACATCTCCATCTATTTTTCAAGCGCCCAAATGTATTTTCAATAGTTATCCGCGCCCTGCTGTGTAACTTATTGAATGTTTCTCCTGCACTACCGGGTGCAGGGTTATTATATGGTGTCATAAGCCACGGTCTTTGTGGGTATCCAGAGTCACCTGTTGGTAATTATTTCATTAGTATAATGGATTAAATTATAATTCATATTTCAACAATAAAAGTATAGCTATTCAAAAATTAAGTTTTCTTACCTAGAAGCCACACAGATTCACCATTTCGATGCAATGTTTGCATGTATGTGTTGAGCTGGCTGTTCTCCCACACAAAGGCATCATGGCTAGCACCCCCAAATTTAGGGTTGATTGCCAAAATGTGACATTTTTCATCTGCAACCTAGAATAAATATTCATTACTTATTATTAAAACAAAAACTATTTTACTTTATACGGCAGAAATGTATTGTAATGTAAAAAACAACTCATTTAAATGTACTTATACTCAACTCATAATGTAGGTAGTAATTCTAGAAAATAATTACACTCCTTTGCAAAAAAAACGGGCACTTTTGATTTATTCGAGTACTTCTAGTATTAACAGTTGTAAAAGAAATTTGAGGCAACAAAGTAAAATAAATATTATTTACTGATGTAAAAACACTTTTGGTTTGGTAATTAAGTCGCTCTTAATTAGCTTTATTTTGATTTTTAGGAAAATACTCATTTTGATAAAAAAATAAGGTAACTTCAATTGACTTTCTCTTTTATTTACTAAAAGTTACAAACAAGAAAATAAAAAATGAATATCGATTGTGGCCTCCTCTGGCTGTAATAACTGCTGCAATTCTTCGTGGCAAGCTTTGGACGAATTTTTTTATGAGTACTTGAGGAATACGCTCCCATTCGGCCGTAATAGCAATTTTAGGCTCTCGGATGTTCTGTGGGGCTGGGTGTACAGCTCTAACACGTCGTTTTAGAAAGTCTCATAGATGCTCAATAGGATTGAGGTCGGGACTTCGTGCTGGCCAATCTAAACGGCGGATGCCGACTTCACTTAAGTAAGCGTCTACGTCGCCCGCTCGGTGTGCTCGAGCATTGTTGTCCATAAACACAGCAGCACTTCCTGTAACAGCTAACGCTGGTTGTGCATGAGGAATTAAGAGTTCCGTGATGTAGCGTTGTGCATTTAGAGAGCCATTTTCTACGAAAACTAACTCTGTACGATCTTCAGAAGTTATGCCAGCCCAAAACATGACAGAGCCCCCACCGTACGGCGTAATTTCTTCAAAACATACCTCTGCATAACGTTCTCCTGGTTTTCTTAGCACTTTACGACGTCGGTCTTCACCAAATACAGAGATTCTGGCTTCATCAGAAAATAAAACCTTGCTCCATTCTACATCCGTCCACGTCGCACAATTTTGGGAAAATCTTAACCTTGCAATACGGTGCCCACGGAGTAATTTAGGACCTCTAGCTGGTCTTCGACTGTGCATATTGACTTCTAGAAGTCTCCTCCTGACAGTCCATACGCTAACACTCACATTTCTAACATCTTCAAGATTGTTTTTGATGTTATTGTAAGTAGACTTCCGATTTCGTAAAGATTGGCTCACAATATATCGATCGTCTCTGGGCTCAGTACATCGTTTCCTTCCTGATCCCGGTCTTATTTTCAAAGAATCGTATTCTTGAAACCGAGTCCAGGTCCTCTGGACAGTGGAACGACTGACACCAAACCAAACCGTTCCGACACATAACATTGAGTACAACCTTCTTGAAGAAGAGTCACTATATTACCAGCGATAATTGTCTTGTCTGCCATATTACGCTATAAAATTTATCACGAATAACCAATTTAAACAATTTTACATCAATATCAATTCATTTAAATTACAAAAAAACCTCTTTTATTTATTTATAGCACAATATCTAAACACAAACTGCAAGCAAATGCTCGAATCGAATAGAATATTTTTAAATAACTTTGAAATTTTCAAATTTGGAACATTTTATTTTACTTGCCAGTACTTTTTAATACATACAAAATTGTTTCTAATTAATTGAATTTCCATAGTTATACAGAAAAGTTTTGGGTGCCCGTTTTTTTTGCAAATAGGTTTAGTTATACCATTTGAACATTCAAAGAATGGTAATGTTTTCTGCAGTAAAAGAGATGTTCTTCTTTTTTGTTGGGTTTCACAATCTTAAAGTGGCAGCCATCTATACACCCTATCACTCCGGGAATACCATATTTGTTGTAGAAACTAGAAGATATAAAATATATATTCATTAGAACCTTACACATAAATAAAAATGTACTTAAATGGAAATAAATGTTTAACCATTCTCATGCAGATACAAATTATAATTTAATTAATGAGGATTATGCTGTGGGCTGTAACCTTATTATCTTTGGTAATACTATGTATAGATGATTATAGGGATAAAAGATTATAAAGTACTAACTTTTGCTTTATAAGTTCTCTAGCTGCTGGTGTATTCGGGAATTTAATGAACTTGTTCAAAATACTTGGGTGGTTTAAAGCCATTGTTACTTGTTGAATCTAACGGCTAATTGCCTCTTGTGATATAGAGTTGGCAATCCCAACCACTCTCTGGTAGTCCCCATTGGCGTAAAATAACAACGCACTTAGTACCTAAAATATAAAATATTTTTATTAAAGAAGTACCTACTTAGATAAAGCACCTAGGTTGGTGAATACTTGGATAAATAGCGGTTACATTAGGTATCTACAGAATAATAATAATAATAATAGTAATAATAAACTCTTTATTGTACACCAAGAATAAAAGAAAAATAAATAAACAGAGAGTAGAAATGTACAAGAGGCGGCCTTATCGCTAAAACAGCGATCTCTTCCAGGCAACCTTTAGGTGTAGGAGATAGCAAACTGCAAGAGGGAAGGGGTGTAAATAATAGAGTAAATATGTATATCACAATATATAAAAAAAAAAATTGACTAGTAAAATGCATAAATAAGTATATATGTTTATTAGACTGATTCAAAAAAACCGACTATTTTTTTTTTTTAATATTGAAAATATTGTCAGAAATGACGAAAAAAAAATCCTGTGAAAGCTAGAGCTCTTAATATTAATATTAAGAGGTGCCGAGTGGAAAATTTCGATTTCCCATTTGATTAACGTGGGAAAAATTTTTTTTCTTACTTTGGAATTCTGTAGCTCTTTAACAAGTCGAGTCGAGAATTGAACGCTCTACAAAAAAGGTCTGTTATGATTTTTTGATATATTTACTTTTTCAAAAGTTATTCAACCCTAAAGATGAATTGATTCAAAATTTTTACATTTTTCTAATTTTCCGACGCAACCATCAACTTTATGAGAAAATTTAATAGGACTTTTTTGTAAAACATTCAATTTCCTATAACTTATCTCTCAAAAAATTAAAATTTTTTTTACAGATCGTAAGTTATTTGCAAAAAACTAAATTTTTTTTTAAAAAGTTGTCATTTTTATTCTTAAAATTAATTATCATGTTAAACAAATAAAGTTTTAACCTAAAAATTGAATGTTTATTATAATCAAAGCAATTTATATCGTTAAACTAAAAAAAATTCTATTACAATTGGGCACTTTTTTTCTGTATTCACTAATAATTAGCAATAAGTATTGTAGTTGATCTTCATTTTTAGTGAAACACTTATTGTATTGTTCAATTAATGCTACACCACGCTCCGCCACGTCATTCACGACTGTTAATTTTGTAAAAAATCGCACACACTCTTTAAAACTTCCATCACTAGCCCAAGAATTAACATCTTTCTCAATGAAGTCGTAAGGCAAATCAAAATCTTTGAAAATAGATAGAGAATCTATCGACACAAAGTCACTCATATCTTTGTCTAATATTGCATTTAAATTATCTTTTTTTACTTCAAATTTCCTTGCCTTAACTTTCTTTCCTTTCCGACAGTTAATATTTACAATCATTTTTTTTTTCACTTCAACTTCTACTTCATTATCAAACAAGGAAATTATAGCTAGCTCTTCAGTTAAATACCATAGATGATTAATCATTTTTACAGTAGCAGCTTTTGATATTTTAGAATTAACGGCTTCGTATCGAATTAATTTTTGCAAAAAAGTAAGATCATGATTTGGAGCAAGAATAGCAGAGGGTGAAGAAAACCATGCTTTTATGTAATTTGTAGTAATGAATAAGCATACTTCTCGAAGGCTATCTTTTTCATAATCATTGAGTTTGAACTCGTCTCTAAAAATAAATATTTTCAGACAATAAATTGCCTTTGCCATCCAACGAGCGTGACTCATAGCTCCTGGGCGCTTGAACGAAACCTTTTCTTTTGGGGTAGCTCCCAAAAAAATTCATGAGAGTTCCAAAAATTCTTCATAATCACTTCTTGGATGATATTTCTGAAAAAAAAGTTAAATTTTACACCATAACTTAATTGAAGCTTATAAATTCATTGAAGTATTCACATTCATGTGAATTTTTCAAATTCAAAATTTTTCAAAATTTTCGTATAATTTTCAAACGGATAACTACACAGAAAGAAAGGTTTACTTGAATCAATAAAAAAATTCTTGAACCATGAAAGTTTGAAGGAAGACCGAAATAATCTTAAACCAAGAGAAAAGTTCTTGGCTCAAGAATTTTTTTCTTAGGCCGAAAACTTTTTTTTTGGTTCAAGATAATTTCGGTTTTCCTTCAAACATTCTTGGTTCAAGAATTTTTTTCTTGGTTCAACTGTCTTCAGAGAGGTATTGAAATGAGCTTAAAACGTACCTGCATGTAATCTTCTATGAAAACTAATATATCATTAGTTTGATCTTTTAAAATGTTAGCAACCGTATCATCTTCTGTACCACTCTTGTAATTTAGTTTGTTAATTGCATCCCAAGAAACTTTAAATCTATTAAATAGTTGCACATTTGGACCCGATTGAGTGGGCCAATAAACTTCGAAAACACTCTTTAGAATGATTTCAAATATATGGTGACGACATGGTAACCAAATTAACTCACGGCCTAAAACTTTCTCTAATTCGACGCCTGCACCGTGATGAACACCTACAAAAAAATTGAATCATAAAATTGAAATTAGAGATAAAAGTAAACTAATTTTTTTATTTTAAAATTATTTACGAAAACTTAAGTAAACGAAAAAAATATCTTTATCATTTCTTGTTTTTAAATACACAGAAAAAAAGGTTAACTTGAGGCAAAAAAATTTGTTTAAAGACTTAATTTGTTTTGGAGCAAAGAAAAAACTTTTTTGAGACAAAGAAATTTTCTTGACTCAAGAAATTCCTACTTTACCCAAGATATTTTAACTCTTAAAAACATTTTATTGAGCCAAGAAAATTTAGTTCTTTAACCAAGAAATTTTTCTTTCTGTGTAAATATGACTACTTTAATGATCTATTTTACAGATACTACCTAAAAAATGGAAAATGGCAATTCAGATTCAATCAAATTTTTTGAAAAAGTTCATAGTTTACGCAATTCCCTGTCCGATTGTACCCTGTCAGAATGTAAGAATGAGGAATTGATATTTTAAGATTATTAGAAAGATTTACCTGTATTAGTAGGGGCGGTATCGAAGCACATTGCTTTTACATAACGACTAACACCCCAATCGTTAAGTGTTGAATAAACAGCCGATGCTTGATCGATTCCAGTTCCAGAACTTATTTTTGGAACTCCAAGCAATTGTTCTTCACCAGATGATGTAAGAACAACCGGCAGTCTATCCACGGAATCAGACCCAACAATATCACTAAGGATTTTACCATCCCAATGAACAACGTAGTTATCGTTTAATTTCAAATTTTCTTTTAATTCTTTAGCAATATCCTCTCTTAAAAGTATACGTTTTGATGAATAGTGCTGTAGCTTAAATTAACATTTTGAAGATCAACTTCAGCACCCTTCAAAGCAGCAGCTAAAATATAAGTAGCATTTCTGCTACTTACATTTGCGCGATCTAACGCAGCAACAAGTTCTGGTGTTATGACACCAAATATTACGATATTAATTTTCGGAGTCTCTGCTGACTGCAAAAATTCAGCTTCAAAATAAGAATTAGTTATCGTTGATTGCGATAACGGTAGATCTTGACTTAGTGTAATGGTGCACGTGTCTGAAAGCTCGTCAGGATCTGAAGTTTATCGTAACATTGCAAGTTTAATTTTATTGATGATGTAGTTTTATTTTTAATTTTGAGGTAATTTTGAACATAAATTCTCAACAATTTTCAAAATTTCGGTATGTAAATAAGTTCAATTTTAAAAAAGTTGTTTTCAGAATTTAAAAAAAAAATTGAAAATAAAAAGAACTTTCTTTTAAAAAATTTAAGGATATACAGAAAAAGTCGATGTTTTTTATGATAAGAAAATTAATTGAAAATAGTAATCCTCGAGGAGCTTTAAATATTTTTCAAACATTAAAAAGAAACAGAGACAATAGCTTTGAATAATTTTGATAAATCTTTTCATCAAATCATTTATTTTTAAAAACTTGTTAAAAAAATTTGAAATTAAACTGTTTTTTTGATTTTTCTGAGAACTGTATCTGAATTTATAGAAAGTAATTGCATTAATGTATAAAAAAGTTTACTATGAAATGAGATCGATCTGAAGAAAAACTGAAGAAAACTTTTGATATTTTACTCTATTTATCAATGATCAGTATCTAATTGAAGATCATCAAAATAATGAAGAAATTTATTTGAAAATCAAAGAATTTAAATGAGTGTGAATTTAGTAGACATCTGATAATTTTTTAATCATTTATACACAATTTATTTTTTATAGAAGAAATAGTATAAAAAAATGCATACGGAAATTTTCACAAGTTTTTTCTATGTAATTTTTTAAATTTTTTACAACCATTAAGTTGAAATTAATCTAAAAATTCTCAATAATTAGCTGTCTGCTGAATTCACCATCATGAATTTAAAGTATCATAATATAAATTTGTTATTTTATATTTAGGTTTAATACATACTTTCATCGTCTAGTTCCATCCTTTCATTACAATTTTCATTCAAGTCTTGGGAACTTTCATCAAAAAAACCACGTCGACCTGGCGATCTTTGTGCTTTTAAAAATTCCTTCTGCTCCTCACTAATATTTTTTAGTGCATATTTATGAGCAATGTCAAATATCCCTTTTAGCTTAATTTTAAAATCATTTTCTTTTTTAATTTGAGTGGGGGATTTTTTGCGTTGGGAACTACGTTGTAAATTTTTCCATTTTTTAAACATTCCTAAAAGCTTCTAGACAGAATTTTGAGTAGTACAAACCGGGATTTGGGCTTTCTTCCATTGTTCTGCAACTTTATTTACTGTCAAAGAAGCACTTTTTTTTAAGTCAAACTTTAAAACTTTGTGATGATAAAAAAACAATGCCAAAGTCTCCTTAAAATTGGGAAGTTTGCGCCCAACAATACTGTCTGACAGAACTCCAATTAAATAAACTTCCTTATCCATTGTGCATAACAAGTAAATTAATAATGTGTCGGATGTCGTTAAAAAATTAGTTCAAAATAACACAAAATACGTAATAACAAACAAGTATCAACCAAAGTTAACTTAACGTAACACAAGTAAAATATGATACAGATCCAATCTTAGAAAAAAGAATTCTCTAATTATAATAATAATATATTTATTAAAAATTGAAAGAAATAGTGGAAAAGAATAATTGAAAAAAAGCGTCCGAAAGCTACGAATACTTCCTCACTCTAGTACACGTCACTCACAGTATTGAAGGCTTAACAATAAAAATATATTACTCTATTCAAAAAAGCTCGGCAATTACCTAATTCTTGGAATCACAACAGCGTTGAAGTATATCAAATATAGGTAGAGGGGGGCGAGCTTGAAAGGATTTTTAATTGATATGGATAGTAGAGTTATATTAAATATAAAATAGATAAAAAATGTTTTTATTTGCTTTTGAGAATTGTTCGTCTTGACCTTGAAATGATTTCCAAAAATCGAATAACATAAATCAGCATTATTTGTTAAAAAAAAAAGCTTTTCCATTTATTGATTAAATTGTAATAAACATTCAATTTTTAGGTTAAAACTTTATTTGTTTAACATGATAATTAATTTTAAGAATAAAAATGACAACTTTTTAAAAAAAATTTAAGTTTTTTGCAAATAACTTACGATCTGTAAAAAAATTTTTAATTTTTTGAGAGATAAGTTATAGGAAATTGAATGTTTTACAAAAAAGTCCTATTAAATTTTCTCATAAAGTTGATGGTTGCGTCGGAAAATTAGAAAAATGTAAAAATTTTGAATCAATTCATCTTTATAACTTTTGAAAAAGTAAATATATCAAAAAATCATAACAGACCTTTTTTGTAGAGCGTTCAATTCTCTACAAGAATATGTTCTGACTCAACCAATCCGATGACTTGTTAAATAGCTACAGAATTCCAAAGTAAGAAAAAAATTTTTTCCCACGTTAATCAAATGGGAAATCGAAATTTTCCACTCGGCACCTCTTAATATTAATATTAAGAGCTCTAACTTTCACAGGATTTTTTTTTCGTCATTTCTGACAATATTTTCAATATTAAAAAAAAAAAAAATAGTCGGTTTTTTGAATCAGTCTAATGTTTATACTAATAGATACATATACATATACTTACACAGATACGCATACCTATATATACATATATATTATATATAATAAAATACTATATTACCTACTCCTATAGATTTAAGAAATTTCCAAACTTTTAAGGTGTCATTTTCCTCAACCACGGATTTATGAATATGGCGTCGTTGATTATCTCTACATAACCTATTGCATTGATTACGAACTTTAGTATACTTTTGTCGGTTTACATCGTTAGCATTTGCACTAAACTTAATTTTGGCTGCATTTTTCTTAACTTGTAGCATTCTGATTTCATCGGTTAACCAAGGAGCAGGAAGATGTTTCAATCGAACTGGGCGTAAAGGAGCATGCCGGTCGTAAAGTTCTGTCAAAAGCGAGTTAAAAACATCCACTTGGTCGTCGATAGAAGCGCCTTTTAGAGCATCTAACCAGTCAATCCGAGCTGCATCTTCCCGTAGACGATCATAGTCTATTCCATCAAAATTTCGCAGCAGAAGAATTCTTGGTTTAGCTTTAGGGGGCTTTATTTTGTAAGATAAGTAAAGGAGATCATGGTAGGAAAATGCCGAAGCAGGATATTGGCCATATTTTTCGACATGGTCAACAGAAGAAACAAAAATTAAATCTAGTAATGAGGGTAAACAATTCGGAAAGGTATGAGTAGCTGAGAGTGGGAGGATATTTAAGTTAGCACCGTTTACCACTGATTTCAAACGCGACGAGCGATGGTCGTCCTTGAGAAGGCAAGTATTAAAGTCCCCCATTATAATAGTGTGGCTATACAACGGCTTAAAACGCTCCAACAGGGATTCAAAAGAAGAGAAGTAATCAATCGTAAGGCTTGGGTTATAATACACACCAAGTAAGACCTTTGTGTGACTAAAAACAACTTCAATGAATAGATGTTCAGGGCCCACATTTGACTCATGCTGGGAGAAGTCCACAATAGAGAATGGTATATGTGAGCGTAAGTAGATAGCAACTCCGCCTCCAGTACGGCCAATACGATCGTTACGAATCAGATGAAACCCCGGGAGCGCATAAGAAATCGAAGGCAAGCAGGGCTTTAACCACGACTCAGATATTAATATTGCATGAACATATTTATTATCAAAAGAAGTTAAGAGATCTGGATAATGTGCAGGAATACTCTGAGCATTAATATGAATAATATTGAAATTCTTTAGAACATCTAAGAAATTGGAATGCAAAGTTTCGTTCAGTGAGGGAATACTTAAAAAGCTGTCATGACTGCTAGATCCATCAGAGGAAGAAGAAAAGGATAAAAAGGAGTCACTAAAACTGCTACAATTTCCTGCCATTAAAAATATATATCTATAGTAATAGTAATAATAAAAAAAATATATATAAATAAAGTGTGATAAAAATTATAAATAAATATATATATATATATATATATATATATATATATATATATATATATATATATATATATATATATATATATATATCGGGAACCTCGCGGTATCGGTCGAACCAGAGGCAGGACCAAGGATTTATCGCATTGGCCTCCTCATCATCGTCGCCGTCGAACTCCACTCTAAAGGTCCTATATACAAGGACACGTGCCGCTTGTGCGACACGGGTTGGGACCATGGACCGTGAAACAACCTTTCCTTGTCCAGAGATAGCTCTTTTGTGCCTAGAGACTACCGGTATTGTTGGTTTCCAGGCAATCTGTTGGGCAACACTTCCAGTCGTGTTTCGTGGCACTGGAACGTTCTTATATCTAGCGCATTCTCTGAGTCGTGTGTAAACGAACCCAAAAAGACCGTCAATTAGAGCATATCTTGGGATGTCGTAAAATGGATTGTCAACATCCGGAACAAGTTCAAGAAGGTGTTGGCTCTGTGTCTTTGTCATCGGTCTACCTAGTCGCCATCCGAGCAGATTCTGTGTGGCGTGCCATCGTGGCTCATCTTCTTCTTCATCTCGGCCACTTGGCGTATCGACTTCTTCCGGTATGGGTGCGCCAACTCCCATGGGTTCTGGTAGAGGTGAGACCTCTCTACGGCGTGGTCTTATGACGCGTGCGGGGCGCTGGTGCGCCGGGGGGGCCGGGACTTGTTGTGGTGGTCGTCTTGGTTGAGGTAAATCAACGTCAATGTCGTCAACCCACCAATCAAACTGCTCACGACGCTGGAGTGTCGCTCTTATGTCGGCGGACACGGTGTGTACTGAAACAAGTGGTGAAATCTTCGTCTCATATTCACCATGGGTGGTGTGATCCAATACTCCAAAGTGACCGTCACGATTCGGTTCTGAAGCGACGATCCTGTGTTTTACTCCGTTCACGTCTGTGAAGTCTCCAAGTCCGGAGAGATACGTAGCGGCTCCTGCCCCAACGACAGTGTCATACCCTTCGACCAGCTGAATGAGTTGTAGCTGATCATGTGATGCCTTGCCATGTTTAGCTGCCATTAAGGCAATCTTGTACCACCATACAATATGGTGATAGTACGCAAAGGCAGAAAGGGGCACTGTTTTTGCAAAATGTTTATCGCATGAAGCTATAGCATCATACTCATGCTCCACGAGTTCAACGTAACCAGCGGCGTCAGCTGGAGCCTCCTGTTCTGCTCCAGTGGCGGTGAGACCGTTGTCGCCCTCACGGACAAAAGAATCAAGCCATAACGGATCGTTGGTAAGTGGTGTTTGTGTTGTTGATGGTTTCTGTGGCTGAGGAAATTCTTTTGACTTAAAGTGAGGTCTTGGCCTCGGGAAAGGCTTCTTAGGCCTTGTCGGTGGTGGTAAACTCTTATTTGCATTCATATCGCTAACATTTTGCGTCGCCATCACGGCTAGCAAACCTTTTTTCCACGTAGTGTTAAAAAGGGACTGCCTTTAACTGCCTCGGTGGTGTAGTGGCTAGCATGTACGGTTGCACACCCGGAGGTCCTGGGTTCGAGTCCCGGGTCGGCCAAGTTTAGGTATTGAGTCTTCCTGTATAGTAAGTCTCAGTAACAGCCCGGAGTTGGGAAGTTGGCGGTGTTTCACCCCCGTGCCTCGGAGAGCACGTAAAGCCGTCGGTCCTGCGCCTTAACTCTCACCGGTCGTGTCGAGTGGTCGTCCCACCGGAGTATGAGAGTGATAGGAATAGAGAGTGCACTTGTGTCTGCGCGTACACTTGAGCACTATAATATCTCCTGCGCAGTTGGCTAATCTCATTGAGATTGGCCGCCGTGGCCGGAATCGGCTAGGAGAACATCATCATCATATATATATATATATATATATATATATATATATATATATATATATATATATATATATATATAAATAAATAACAATAAAATATATGATGTAAAAAATAATATAGATATGAAATAATCCTATTAATAAATATAAGTAGTATTAAAAAAGTTAGCTACACTGCTAAACACCTGCCAGTTGCAAAGAAGGAATATTTTACACACAGTTATTATAGACAAAGATCAAATGTTATAAAACAAATAAAGAAATAACAAATCATATGACAACACAGTAAAAAAAATAGAAAAAAAATATATTATAATAATCAAAAACAAATTGATAGTGTTATCTATATGAACGCCAAAAAGACTTGAATCTATTTCTGTCAAATACGTCAGAATGTTATAAGTACATACGATAAACCTTATCGAAATGCGCGAATACGAATGTGAAATAAAATATCTAAGTACCTACCTTAGTCTCCAATGATATTCTTTGTGAACCCCTAAGGTTTGTATTTTCTCTTAAGGTCTCACAGAGAAACATAAATCCCTCCTTGGTTAGCTGATACCGCTGCACAAAGTGAGTGTCAGAGATACGGCTGGGCACATTTAATTTTCGCCTCTTTACGAGCTCCTGTCGCTGCTCATCTTGGTCAGCCTCCACAGCTAATATCCACGCAAGATACCGTCTCGCTAACATAATTAATGTTCAAAAATATTCGCAAAAACAAATATGGTCGCAAGCTCTCACCGAAATTTACTTGGTGAGTGCCAAAACGAAAAAAGTTTTCGAATTCGTCAAAGTTTACTATCGGTAACTTGTCAAAGTGGGAACTCGTACTGCCAAAATGCAATAATACACTCGAAAACTTTCATCGAGTTCGTTAAGAGCGAAGCCCCATTAATGCGTTGCGTCGCGTCGTCGTAACAGAACAGCGCATTGTATGCCACACCTGCGTTGCGACGACGCACGATGTCGCAGCGCAAGAGCGTCGCAGCAACACTGGCTGCGTCTCAGTTCAGCCTTCGCAATGGATAAATACAAACGTGTTCTTTTGTTGCTTTTATTACGCCACCGCCGAAATAAACGTAGAAACCATAGAAGATTCTGGATATCTCCTTTGAGATAGCATTAAGAAATAGTGATGGTCAGTTTTTTATGCAGGAATATAGGGAGTTGATGAAAGTAGATGAAAAGAAATTTTTCAATTTTTTTAGGATGAGTGAGGCCAGCTTTAATAATTTGGTTAAAATTTTAGAACCATATTTAAAGAAGCAGTATAGCAAATTCAGGAACCCTTTAGAACCAATTGAAATGATTGGTATTACATTGAGGTAAGAAATTTCAAAAATAATAATAATTAAATATATATGTTTAAATAATAATACATAAACTTAAAGCTAAAAAAAAATGTTCATTAGTTATTCATTTATTATCTTTAAAATCATTTTAATTTAAGTATTACTACTAGTCAACAAAGGAAAGTTATATTCTTCTTCTTGACTATCATCTGTAAAATTATTAACTGTAGTGTTGGCTGAGAAGGAAGCGTCGAATTCATCTGTACGATACCCCGATGGTCATGGTGACTGGGCATTTTGTGTAGTGTGATATCCATATTGTTGTCCAGTTTGATATCCGCGTGACTGCAATGGTGTTGCATGATACTGTTGCCCAGTTTGATATCCACGTGACTGCAATGGTGTTGATTGAGTCTGTTCCCCGAACCGCATTTCGGTAATGATATTTATAACTTTGCTTTGGAATGTCAAAGTCTGTAATTCCGTAAAGCCGTCCAAAGAAGGCAAAATTCCTTTGAAAAATGATAAGTGGCGGTTTTCTGTCTCATGCAACGCTTCTAATGTTTGCGCCTCGAAATCATCTATTGCTTGGTTTGATCTCTTGCGGCTTGCAGGCACGTAGCGAGAAGGTCCTGGGGGTAACGAGGACATTTCTTGAGATGGAGAAGATAATGTTGTGTTTTTGTTTCGTTCCGTTTCATCAGGCACGTTTTCAAGGCTACTGTCAGTTTTATTTTGGGCAATTTTCAACAAAAATTGCAACTGATTGTAATAATGATATTTTTTAAATTGTTTTGCCCCTGATCCAGACGAACTGTTTTCTTTTAATTTTTTTACATATCGAAAAAAGTTGTCCCTCACGCTTCTCCATTTTTTCACGATCTCGTTACCTGCAAAGAAAGAAAAAAAAAAGAATATTAATCTATGATTGCAGATCTAAATGAGCCACCCTGTTTAATTTTTGTGTTTCTATTTCATGTACTTGGGCAGTGGAAATTCGATAAACGACTTGCATTTCAAATTTAAACGTGGAAGATCAACAATTTCTAGAACTATTTCGTCAGTTTGTCAAGCTGTGTGGAAATATCTTCGACCACAGTACATAGAAGAGATTACAGTAGAAAACTACAAAATATTGCATTAGATTTTGATCTCAAAGCCAACATTCCTCATTGCTTTGGGGCAATTGATGGGAAACATATACGTTTGATAAAACCGGACAAAAGGGGCTCTCTGTTTTATAATTACAAAAATTATTTTTCAATTGTTTTGCTGGCGGTTGTTGACTCAAATTATAAGTTTGTTTTTGTCGACGTGGGAGCATATGGAAAGGAAAGTGATTTTACTATTTTTTAGAAATTCGACGCTTTACAAGATTTTAATGAGAAATGAATTACCATTACCTGTTTCTCAACCACTTAGAAATGATCATATTAACGAACCTCCAATCCCATACGTACTCGTAAAAGGTTAAAAGCGGTGCAAGCGACTGTTGCAATGGCTGTACATTGCTTACCACGTGATTCTGGGCTAAACCTTTCACATCCTTGATGAAAAGATCCTTGCAATATAGCTACGTTATCATCAATGTTATACTCGGCGCGGCGAACCTTGCTCCCTATGACACTGACAGCTAATGTCACCATATAACATTGTAGTGGCGTCACCATTAAATTGGGATCATATTGGGGGCGTCTAAAAATGCCATTTATAAATTTTACGTAGCTTTATACCATTAGTAATGATATTCCGTTGATATTTTTAACAATTCTTAACATTTACAAGAAGTTATCTCAATCTGAATTTATGTTTACGTCCTGCAAAACTTACGTCGTGTGACGTTTATCGACTAGGGCGGCAAGTATCGATAAAAAAATGTCGGTAATGGAAACGAATGCACATTTTTTTTCATACTCACATTTTAGTTCATATATTATGGAATGGAACAGAATATTACGATCATACCATTCATACATACATGATTATATTATACCCAAGAAAATTAAAAAATAACAGCTATAGGACAAAATGAAATGAAACAAAATCTGTTTAATAATTATTTATTTACATACACAGGATCAAGGGTGTAACAAAAGTAAGTGATAATACTTTAGGGTTTGCATGTGTTCCTTATATAGTTTACAGTGAAAGTACTCAGCGCTGAAAGCGAAAAATATTTTTTTTTGATTTGTATGGGCAAGCGCCACATGAGCAAATTATCGACACGACCAAAGACACGACCCATCACTAACACGAACTGTCATAGGGATCAAGGTTCGCCGCGCCGAGTATAGTATACGTAGTTACTTGCGTTGGCTCTGTTGATTTTGGTTCAATATTTACAGGTGCCTCAGCAATTTGTGTTATTGAAGAGAGATCTATTACATTAGAAAATGACGCACGAACATCTTTGTAAAGCGCATTATTAACCAACAACCATTTTAATGCTTGATTCAATTTTGCCATTTCAATCTGAAATTCCCTTGCTTGGTGTAAGTTTTCTAGGTTTTCTGTGACTATAACCAGCCCAGCTTGTTGTGGTTGAAGCGGAAGTTGTTCAGCCAATTCGATAATATCCTTGGCGAAGAGAACAACTTGCCCCTTACACCAATCCTGACTGTACCAGTTTTGTATCCGTATAATTTGCACGAACGGCACAATTCTCAACAAAAATCTCTTCTCAATTTCTGTCAAATTGGCTATTTTCTTCAGGTATATCCGAGACAGACATTTTGTTCCAGTATGCCTGAGCTGGAATTTTTCGTTTTTTAATATTATTGTAACAACGAGTACGGGTCACGATCTCACCTAGAGAAATTAAATTAGCAGGAAATAAATTCTCTAGATTGTTAGTTAATAGTCTTGTACGCTGCTGAGGATATATCATTTTATTGCAAATTTTGCATGCCACATCAGCAAACACATTTATCGCCGATTTAAATTGTTCAGCATTCACTAATCTTCTTTTATCACGAGCATGCTTATTACTGAGACGAATCGCTCTATGTTCTGCTGTTTCATTAAGCAGTACTCGAGCGGATTGTATGTAACCAGTTACGTACAGTAGGAATATTTAATTCTTTATCATTTTTAAAAAAATTCATTGAGCTTAAAATCTTTTTTGCATTAGCCCAAATAGGATTATGGCTAGAATTAGGTGTTAGTGCGCACAGCAAAAGTTTTCCACTTCTTTTCTTGGAGTTCTCTTTACTGCCATTGACGGAGTCAAATAATTCATCAAAAAATAACAGGACATCTGCAGTCTATTTACATTCTTTTGGTAGAATTTCTTTAGCTGAAATATAAAAAAATCATTTTAAATTATGTTGCCCCAAGAAATACACTGGACCATATACAAGTTGGGTCAATGAATTGATTTAACAAGGTGTTAATGTTTTATGAATTTCAAGGTTAGCATTTTGCAGAATACCATAGGATAGTACAAATAAAACTTACATGCTAAATATCCCATTGTGCTTGCAACCTTTTAGCTAAATACTTGGGTTGCAAACTTCACCTTCATCTTACACTTTTCAGGATTTATATGTTACTCAGTAAGGTTTTTAACCAGTTTGATTCCCGCATATGAAGGGTCTTCTTTATACAATTTAATTATGTGCTGCCATTGGGCAATTTTACTTGAACCATTGATAGTGCATTTTAAATTTTTGTTAAATAAATTATTTCTTATCCCTTTTATGAGATGCGGTGGGTCTTAAAGAGGAATAATTTATTTATCTTCTACTTCAAAAATATCTCTCTTAAGTTCCTGGTTGATCTTTTAAATATTTTGACCTTGTTTCAGCAATCAAATATTTGATGCAACTGACATTAGAGGCCCCTTGGTCACACACAGTAGCCAACACCCGCAGTCCCACATTATGTAATTTTTTTATTATAATTTTTATTAAAACTGCCAATTCTTCCCTTTTTGTACTGCCAGCACAAAAGGTGTATGCAACTGGCTGTTTGTAGTTGCGCAAAATTCCTCTTATCATAAAGACAAGAGCATGGTGTGCAATCTTATTTTGCTTTGTTGTTCCATTTGTTATGAAACCTGATATCACATCTTTTCTTTGATTATACTCAAAATGAAGTGATATGGCAATTTCATCAAATAATAGAATGCACAACTTGTCATCAGTATTCATATTTTTAATTTTTTTTGTCATGACTTCAAACAGTTTTTCATTAATTCCAGCCCTTAGATCAGCTTGTTTAATTAATCTGCTAAGGGTAAGCGGGGATGGCAAAACAAAAATTTTACTGAGCAATCTATAACACTTGGGTCCTTGCTTATAAATGCTCAAGGCCATGACTTTTTCTTGTTCAGTGAACCTTCGTCCCATCTTCATTTTCCTCACTTCTCTGAACTGCATGTTGAAGAAAATTGCAGCAAGGCTTGTGGATTTATTTATTATTTTCTGAAAAGTGCTGTTTTCAGTTAATTTTAAAGCTTTTTTCAATCGACTTGCATATTTATTTTTCTTCTGTGTCAATTTGTCCAGCTTTAAAACTTTTATCATCCAAAAATGTTGTATCTGTAATCAATAATGTCAGTATCATTGTAAGAACAGCATTGAAAATGTTCCAGGAAATTTAGAGGTAATTTTTTTTATAATTTTAAATATATACTTAGAATAAGCATTATGTATTAAAATGGAATTACAGAACTGACACACTCTTTAAAGAATAAAAATCCCTTAAATAAATAAACATTAAAAAACCTAACTTAGTAGATTGCAAGCTTAATGCAAACATAGTAAATTGCTTGCTTGACCAAATAGGAAAATATTATAATTTATTATGCTATTATAAACTTATTTACCTTTTCTCTTAAACTTCAGAGATTGTTTGACAGCAACTATATCTTTCAGAATTGTTGTCTCTGGTTTAAATGTTAAGTCTGTAAATTTAATAACTTTATGTTAATTTAGATTCAAAATAACAATACTATCATCAAACTGATTGACTCTGGGATATTATTACTCATTCAATCTGTGACTTGTCTATAGCTATACTTTTGTTAGATTACCTATTTGTTATTTTGTATATGACATCTTTCTCTTGAAGACTATCAACCAAGGTATAAATAATATGGAATGTACTTTCCAGAAGAAATTACCTAAATAATTTCCCAACATATTTTATTTATATCAAAATCCACAATACATTTTTCCCCTAGGTATAAGTGTTAACACTTGCTACGTTGCCGACCAAGCACAAACAAACATTATTACATTTACTGCTATTACCTGCAGAAGTAGAGGCTACTGGTTCAAAATGACTGGCAGCAATATTAGTGCCAATAATCACTGATGATGATGGTGTCATCCTGTAATCCTCCAATGTATGCATGGGAGTGGTGGAAGAACTATCAATTTCTGATAATCCTTTTTTGCAAATATTTGTTTCTTGTCTCAAAACCGCATGTTCTATTTGAAAACCTGTGAAAAACAAAACAAAATAAAAACTATAATCAAATATAGCATTTAGCAAGATTATAATTTTTTTTCATTCCAAGTGATCACTATTCTGCCCTCACCATTAAGAATGCAGTACTTGCAAAATAGTGGTTTCAACATATTTTTAGATATCTGAGCATGATGTGAGCATGATGTTTTGATGATAAGGGCCAAGTGTCTAAGAAATAAAACTTAGAAAGTTTCATTGAAATCTATCCAGTAGAAAGAAAGAAAGAACGTGTGATAATTATGAATATTAAATATTCCAGATCGCACAAATCTTGATTCATCTGACCATAACACTTTATTGAAAAATCCAGGATCATCTAGCTCTTTTTGTAACATGGTTTGGCAAAAATCAATGCGCAATTGGTGGTCTGTCGGCAGTAAAGCTTGGACTCGTCGAAAGTGGAACGCGTGGTATCCTTCATCGTGAAGTATGGCTTGGATAGAAGTTCCTTGATTCCTTGTGCTTTTAATATGACACGAATTTGAAACTTCCAAGACATCCAGTTCGATAATCCTTCCAATATCAATGAATATTGGTTTTCCGAAGTAACCTCCATTTTATCTATTATGCCATTTACCCGGCCCGTTCTTTTTTCCGACCACGCTTTACCGCGATATTAAATCTAAAACAATCCAGTATTCTGGGCCCATAACCTGTTCGCAGAATGTAGGTGTTCGTGCAGTAGAAGTGGATTGTATTTGGTCTAAAGAACGTTTATTTTTTTAACTATTACAAATTAATTGTACATTTTTACTCACAGACCACAGATTAAAAAAAAAAACTATTTATAAAATTGAGCGTTGCCTTATTTTAACAATCCAACCTACAGAAAAAGAAATAATGAATAAAAAAAATCCGAAAGTACTAATTTGGTAGATGAGTACATTAAAATGCAGACATTTTTATTTCAGTTATTATGTGCGCGCCAATCGCAAACACCACCCTCGAAGGCAGTTTCAAGGAAGGTAAGGGTGATTCACGTGCCCTCGGTACGCAGTTCAACTAAAGGCCACTTTCCCCAATCCCCCGTCGGCAAGAATACCCTAACGCAAAAGAGAAAAGCACTCACCTGTGTGTCTTCTTCTCCCGCGCGTTCCAGGCGCCTGGGATTCCCAAGGGTCGGGTGCACCAGTGCTAAAACAGGCGCCTGGGATTCCCAAGGGTCGGGTGCACCAGTGCTAAAACAGGCGCCTGGGATTCCCAAGGGTCGGGTGCACCAGTGCTAAAACACTGCTGCAGCGGTAAAAATAATTCAGCGGCAGTACAAAGGCCACACGCGAACTTATAGCCACACCTTAGCGGTTATTATAAAAGTAGATTACGTCCGTCCACGTCGCGAGCTAATGGTCGAGAGAGAGTGCGGTTGATGCGCACGAGTATAGACAACACAAGGGTCGTGCATTCCCTCGTACGTCAGAAGCATTCTGCCGAACGGTAAGAACGGCAAAAATGGCCCAAACATTATACATTTTCATCATCTACAATAACAGAGTCTAAAAATGCTGCAGGGTGACTAACGGTGTCATATCGTGCCCATCCCAGAAACCATACAATAGACATAATGTGAGCGCATGAACCCAAGTTACGTCTGCCGCTTTTGCATGAACAGTAATAGTGTTCCAGAGCTTCCAGTCCTCGTTGGTCCAAGTTTATTAAAATGTATGTATAATATACGCGACTTCTTGTGTGTCTTGATTGTATTCTTCCTCTTAGTAACCAGAAGTTATTACCAATTATATTATAATTGATCAAAGCATTATTTTAATCGTCGGTACTTCTGAATATTTCAATGGTGTAAACACCATTTCTATCGTGTTCTGCGTAATAACTCCTGGCTAGTTTTATTTGATATGTCCCCAGTGAGAACATAATTAAATCGTTTTCGGACAAACGAGGAAAATCTTGAAGCTCTAGTAAGTCGGCAAACATACTTTGAAAATTCACTCTTCTACTATTAAGATTTTGGCCAATAACATATTCTGCTAGTAAGTTTTCAACATTTAGTCTATTATTTATTCTCTCAACAATTTCGTGGGCATTGGAACAATCGGTTATTGGGTCGTGAAAGGCATTGGTGATGGCTGCGGCAATCCGAAAGTCATCTTGCATATGCAGTAACGCTTTTTTAAAATATTCTTGTCTGAATAACTTGAAGTCACGTTTGAAACGGCCATTCACCACTTCCACGACCCACCGACAAATAGTCACCATTCTTGACTTATTGGCATCTATTGTACTTTATTGTCTATTGTAAAGTTGCGTTTGGCCTCTTGCTACAGATAGGGGCATATGCATTTCATAGCCGCAAGTTTGAACAACAGGTAAAGCATCTCTAAAACCTCGGTCTAGTATTAGAACGTCACCTGGTCTGAAAAACCAGTTAAAAACACTATTTTCAGCGTTCAGCATGCCACTTAATATAGTCGCGTCTGATGTTGTGGCTGCGTAAGGCCCTGTGACATCAATAATATAACCATTGCAACAGACTATCAAAAATGGTTTCAATAGGTTTTGAAACTTATGGTGACTATATGTCATTCTTTGGAATAAAAAGTTAGCACTTTTTTAAATATATACATAAGTACCATCACAAACAATTATTGCTTTCATCGCATCTCCAGAATTGCCCCCAAAAAGTGCATTGGCGATAAAAAGATTTTTTTCCACAACTTGCTCTCTTGTGATATGATCCCACCCTAAATGGATTGGCACATAGTCACGGGTTAAGCATTCTCTCGCTGCTTTAAGTGGTCTTTCCAGCGTTCTTCGACTCATATGCAACATGTCTGCCAATCTTGTGTCTGGTTCACCGGTACGTAGCTTAATTAAAGAGGCAGTCAATGCAGTCTTAGGTTTTTTGCATGTTTGTATCAACGACGGCAGTTGCTCCAAAATTGCATTAAATTGGTCTATTGTACGACCAGTTAAAAATATAGTTCGTTAGGATCCATATTTTCTATATTTTCAAAATCCAGTCTTCCGATGACCTGATGAGCAGATTTTAAAATATTCATCATGTCCATGATTTGGTCCTCGTTGAAATCATGGCTTATGTTATTTGCTGACAATAAAACTTCAAAGTCGTTCAATTGCAGATGTTCTTGGCATATTCGTGCTGCAGGCGGTACATAATAGTTTTCATGTAGCAGACGTATTTTCATGTGTTTAGGAACTCGATAGCGCGACTGATCTTGGCAACCAAAGACAATGCATGAATTGGATGTATTTGGTGCTCTTAAAACATGCGATAGATGTATCGTAGATTGTTGTCTTGCGTGTTGTTCTCCCGCAGGTTGTTCTGCAGGTTCTTCCGCAGGTTGTTCTGCAGAGTCTTGAGCAGATTGTACTGCAGATAGCTCTTCAGGGTTACCTTATGAAGAAGATGTTATTCGACGGTTCCGCGGTGGATAGGCTTCGCGTCGCCAACAAGGATGGCAAATAAACTCCTGGTCGTTAAATTGTATCTGTAAATAAAAAAGTTTAAGGGTTAGTATCGATGTTTACGATTTTTATTTTTGTATAATCACAAAGGTGTGACAAACGGCGACAGTCTACTTTTTTCACAGTGCAAGTATTATCGCAGCCGCCAGTCTTTAAGCGTCTGCCACGGATCTAATTCATAAAATCGAGAGTCACTTTCTCTTTAGTCATAATATCATATTCCATAGAAAAAATGGCGTGATGCAAAAAAATATCTAAATAAAGTAAGACGGTTATTTCACTACGATGCGTAATGCAACAACACGGAATTAATGCTTATATATTATAACATATGATAACCGTATAAACATATTTAATAATATCTACTATTCAGTTTTCATTAAACTAACCTCATACGGAGAAACACGTTCCGTTATATTCTCTGTAGCAAGCGGATATTCCTCGAACAATTGCTGAGTCAATGTTCTTCTTCTGTGTGATTGCACCGCCCTTTCACACAGCAAACACACTTGTCCAGCAGATGCACGAAACATGTTGTGAGTGTTCCAAAAACAAAGAGCAAAATCGAAATATCCAGTGAACAAGGCAAGGGACAATCACAGTGCAAAATCGTCAGTCCAGTAAACAAAAGCAGAAGTTGTTCGAACAAATCAATAAGGAAAGCGCACAGTACGCAACTACAAACGGTAAACGTTGAAGAAAGACTGCGTAGAGGCAACGCGAGGCGAGGATGATCCACGTTCTCATTTGGCAAACTCGCGTTTAAGCTGAAACGCCTCTCGCTTACACAACCCGTTTCACTCGTACTACCTGTCTCGCTCACACAACACTACCTGACTCGGTAGTACTACCTGAGCGGGCTTGATTTTTTGGTTTAAATGAAGTCACCAATTAAGAACGGTTTTCTCGCACACCATCATTTAAATCTAAATGAATATCCCCGTTGTATGAAATATTTAAAGTCAAAGTCAAGTCTATGATAAGAATTATTTTATTTTTTTATTTAGTATGCATTTTTATAATTTTATTAACTGTAGTATAACTCAGCAACTACAGGTTAGAATTCAATGAGGTTCAACTCGCAGAGATAAACGTACGTGATGTGCCAAACGACGGTAGTGTCAACCCTGGGGGCAGTAAAAAAAATTTTGGACCAAGCTCCATACATTTTTGCCCACCCTCCTTTATTTTTATAGATTTTTATTATTATTTCCATCACTATTATTATTAGGTAAGTTCAGTATAACCATGGACCACCCATAGTGCAGCAGATGAGACTGAGGGATATACCCAACTAGGTATACCCGCCGCAATCTTATGAATTCCAGTCCATAGTCCACGTTTGCTTCGGATCCACTTAGGCAACGATCCGTTCCTCGGCGGCACGGTGTATTGTGGATGGCAACAAGTTCTGAATGTTTTAGCTGCGGTGGCCGAAACGTTGAGTAAGGCGGTAGGCTGTATTGTGTCCTCGACCAATGGCCTTCCCAATGGGGATCTTCTTTCTCTGAGACTGAAGGATGTGGTGTTGTTGGATGGCACCTCCCGCCTCACACGGATTGCCCTAAATAGTTTGGTTAACCCACTCCATACTCTCGTTGTTTTTGCAGCTCTAGAAACCACCCTTACCCCTGAAGCCACACCAGCCGCTTCCATCCTCACCGATGCTAGCCCCCCCGCGGAAATTAGTTCGTTAGCTGCGGGTAATAAGTTTGGAGTTGAACGCCACATACGGGATGTTGCCAGTAACCCTTCTGCCGTGGAGGTTCCACGTTGTGATGATTGCACCACTATACCAGTTGCAGCCCCAGCAGGAGCGGCAGCCAGAGGGGCCAGTTCGTATACGCCAGTTAAAGCTAAAGATGTTGATGAACCCAGTAGATTGACGGCCACATTGGGTAGTTCTCGCGCGGCGTTTGTTGCCACGCCCCCGTAGGCCCCCATTGCAGCAGGTGTTCCGCGAAAGGCCCTCCACAAACGTTGTGCACCTCTCCACGCGATCGGTGACCCATAATGCAGACCGTGTGTTATTATTGTGTCCCGGATTCCAAGCCCGAGAAAATCGTTCCAGTTCGGGGATGTGCGACACCCATCAGCCTCCAGACACACGTCCTTCACTTGTATTGGCTCCGTACTGTTAGCCAGCACCGTTGGAAATGATTGAGCTATGTAAGACATGTCTAGGTTATTCGCTATTACCAGAGCATAAAAGGACGCGTCGTCATCCAAGCGCAACGAGGACAAGCCGAATATCTTGGTTATCATGACTAGTGTTGCCCAAACGCAAGAACAAGACGAGACTTAGCCAGTCTTGGTCTTGGTCTTGCGCCAATACACCTGGTCTTGGTCTTGGTCTTGCGCTCCCAGTCTTGGTCTTGGTCTTGCAGCAAGAGTCTTGCAAGTCTTGCAATTACCTATTAGTCTATTACTATTTATTAAAGTTTACTTTAAATCCTAGAAAAACGTATTAGAATTGGAACATTGTGAGCTTGAATGAATATAGCCATAGTAAAGATCAAGCAGATTAATAAATAACTGAAGATTTGATAAGAAATTCGAGAAATCAACTGACCTATATGTCGTTTTCCATGGAAGTAACTGTTTCTTAATAAACATTTATGATTTATAAGCTTACATTTGCTAAAACATGTAAAAAAACAGATTAATTACAATAACTTGACTGTATTTTAAAGAACAATACTTATCTGTCTAAAAAGAGATTGAACCCTCAACTTATAAGAAATTTAATAAAAGAGTTTTACGATTTATCATTTATTTGAATAAAAAATAAAATACAACACAAATCAACAGCTTTATCATTAGGTTATGATACTTTATATCAATTTTTTTGACCAAGAATTAATACAAAGTAACCATCTGGCTGACTCATCACTTAACCTATTTCTATGTTTTCTAATTACTAATGATGCTTTAGAAAATAACCTCTCAGCAGGTACTGAAGTTGCAGGTATTGAGAGAAAATCACGGGCCATTTTCGATAAAATCGGATACTCTGTCTCATGCGTCCTCCACCAATCTAAAATGTCTTCCGAGCTGGCAGTTCTTGGTTTTTCTCAGGTACTCCTCCAACTCGTCTATCACTAAGCCTTGAAGACAAGATCCAGATGACGTCGAGGGACATTCATAGAGTTTATCAAAGTCTATTACGTCTTCATCTTCATCACATACTTCATTTTTTTTTTCTGGTAATTCCAGAGATTTGTTCAGTGAGTGTAGACTTTTATATTCTTCATAAAGTTCCTTGAACTTGCGCAGACTTTCTGTTTTAAGTTGCTTCCCCCACATTGTCAGGTCAAAAGTCTGAGCCTTATGCCTTGGGTCTAAAATTAAAGAAGTACAATAAATCCAGTTGCTCTTCTTGTAATGTTTAAGCATTTTGTCTCGAGCTGCTTGGAAAGCTAGAATGAGCCTTTCATCCACTTCAGATTGATTAGGTTTCTCATCTAACTGTTTTACCATGGATTCAATTTTATCTAGCAAGAGATTGAATGATACAATGACTAGCGGTAATGTAACATATTTGTCTCCACCAAGTTTTGTACTTAAAAGTTTAAAGTTTATTAGAAATTTATGTAATTTTTTCGAGTACCTGCCATTCATTAGCTGTGATTTGAAAATCATTTAATTCGGTGACAGAACTGCACAATATGTCAATGCCCGCTCTCACTTTTAAACCAAATCCAATCATATCATGTGTGGAATTCCATCTCGTTGGACAGTCAAGAATGGCATTTAAATTTGATGGCACGCCAGCTGCTTCACAAGCAGACTGAAACTTCTTCTTGACTATCTCACTTCTTTTTATTTTACTGGAAATACTGCGTAACTTTGTTACAGATGTACGCGAGTCAGCAATATTTGGTGCAGATTCTTCATCTTCCTCATCCTCAGTTTCGTCTGCATAGTCTTCGTACTGCTGATCTTGCGCGTTAGTGTCAGACTCACAGTGTAATGCTAAGGTCTTTAATAAATCTTGTACACCAAGGTTTAAAATGTGAGCAAAGCACCGGAAATGTTGATTGTCTGAATCAAAGTGTGGCGGCAGCTGTTTGCCCAGTTCATACATAAATTTGGTATTTGCAGTTGCGTTGTCGACCGTGATACCTTGTATTTTATCAATTATGCCATATTCCAATAAACATTCATGGAAAATCGTTGCAATATCTTCCCCAGTATGTCGACCGCGTGATGGTATAAAATCAAGAACTACAGATTGATACTTCCATTCGTTGTCTATATAATGAATAGTAACCCCGTAGTAACTCCTACCAGCAATTGACGTCCACCCATCAATGGTAAAAGACATTTTAGATGATAATTGTTGAAGTCGTTCCTTGAGATTCAATTGGAGCTCTTCAAATCGCTCTTTGACTTTCCTTCTAAGTGTAGACCTTTTAGGAAACACCATATTAGGGCAAATACGTCGAAAATATACTTGTGTAGCTTCGTCATCGAAAAATGAGAAGGGAAGATATTTTTTCACCACCCAATCAACTGTAGCTGTCGTGATGTTGTCACTGCTGTTTTCCGACTTAAACAAAACAATAAATCTTGTATTATTATTTAAAACATACTAGGTTTGAGCGTATAAGAGGAGGAGGTTTGTTGTTGTTAAATCGAGAAAATCGTTAAATTGATATTTGTTATATTAAGGTTGCACTGTACTGTAATTTACCAAAATAAAGTACTTAGTTGTTACTGGCCGATTAAATGAAAATATGGGTGTTTATAAAAAATATTTAAGACGATAATTACATACTTAATATGTCGCACCCCTAGATGAAAACACCACTAACTCAAAAATACACTGATAGAAGGATTTTTTTGTACCTAATAAGATTTGTTACCAGTTAAGAAATGATTTGTTAGAGAGAAGACTCCTAATAAATATTTATTAGCAGTTAATAAATCATTTGTTAGCGGATATTTTTTACTGCCAACAAAATATTTATTAGTATGTAATAAATGATTTATTGACATATAAAAAATAATTTATTAATATTCAAAAAATCCCTTGAACATTACGTTCATTGTTCTAATTATTAAAATTACAGAGAATTAGAAATTTTGTGAAACGAATAAAGTTAAAATATAATAAATAATGAATTGATTAATAGTATATAATTCATTTTTTTATGACAACGGTATACATTTAAAATTAAAATAATCACTATTATAATCGATACGTTGGTATTCGTATACGAGTCAATAAATCAAATTTCTTTGAGATATTACATAAGAGCCATCTGACGATACATGAATTTTTAACGGTTTAAAATATTCATCGAAAATTGATAGGATAAAGTTTTCTGGATCGTTTGTTTTCGGTAATATTAATTGATAGCTTTTTATATGGGGATTGAGTCCAATAGTTACACATTTTTTGGAAGAAATATGAATAGTTTTGCCATCAGATATAATTGCAGTAATAAAACCAAATACATGATTATTCTCAGAGTCATTGGAAACGTGGAAGGCATACGATGGCTATTATATATACATACAAAGCTACGCATGAGTGCCGCCATCTATTAACAATGACCACAAATAAAATATTTGTTAACCGTAAACAAATCTTATTTGGTGGAAATAAATAATTTTTTCAATACATTAAAGCTTTTTAACAGTAAAATTTTTTTTGTTTTAATAAAAAAGCGATTTAATTAATCCTAAAAAGTGTTGGTAACAGTAAAAAAATATTTCTTCCATCCAAAAAGATACCTTAAAAAGTTTGTAATAAATTGATTTATTACTCCCAAAAAAATCCTTCTATCAGTGTACTTACGTAAGTTAATGGCGTTTTTGAAAGTATCGCATGAATAGCTACGCGGAGTTAAAATTCTTTTAACTGTTAAATAAATATTCTTACCTGTCCACTTCTTCCAGCGGTTACTAAAAAGCTTGTGATATCTCCACTGAATTTTGGTTTAACAGGAAGAAATATTTCTGATTCCTTTTTATGGAAAGATATTAGATGTTTCCTTAAGCCTGAAGTGTTTCTGTTTTTCATTTTTATTTCAATCTTTTTATGTTGGCACAATTTACAGAAGGCAGTTTGGGATGCATGAATTATTTCGAAAAATTCCTCAAATTTGCTTTTGGGTCTTTTAGATCTGTGACTCAAACTCTCGTTACTCGGACTAGAATAATTTGAATCTTCGTCACTCATATTAAATTGTACACGTGATACGTTTTTAGAAAACAACGAGAATTAGTAAAAACAATTATTAAGTTAGACTCGAAGCACAGCTCAATTGGAAATGACTGGAATTAAAATAATTCCTTTATTTATAGTACGTTTCCTTGCTTTCTACCGCGCTGCCTCGCCACGTGCCGGCTCTATGATAAGGATGCCGCCGTAAATCAAACAATAATATAAAGCGTGTAAAAAAATTCGAAATTACGGCCTGTCCGCACTGCGATATTTCACCGCACGTTTTTATTCCCGCAATTCTGTAACACAATGAATCTTATAGGAGTATCCGCACTGGCGGTTAAAAATTCGCGCGGAAAAAAAATCTGTGATTTGATGCAAATTGAACGCGATGCGGCGCGGATTATTTCCGCGCGAAAGTTTTGTACAGTATATAATATGTATGGCTATGGCCGCACTGCGAAATAAAATTCGCGCGTTTCGCTCAGTCGTGCACCGACGCTATTGGTTTATCGAATGATTTTGTAGTCATTCTGTAATATCCGAAAAACTTTTTACTGTATTTTCGCAGCTCTTGATATTTAATGTAGAAAAACATCATTTTAGATTACTAAAATGTCTCAGTAGATATAGTAGATTTATCATTTTAGACGTTTGTCTCAGTCGGGAACTGCATCAAACTGACAAAAATCGTACGAAATTTTATTCGCAGTGCGTAATAAGTACAATTTCGATCACGGAATATAATACGCGAGAATAAAAATCGCGCGGTGAAATATCGCAGTGCGGACAGGCCCTTATTTTGCATGAGTATACCTACGCCCTATGGCGGCAATCAAATAGTGTCAAATGTTATGATTTCGGCGTGGCGGCAACGATTGTTTTAGATTTCAAAAGAAGCCGCCGGCGCGTGTATCATAACCATGTACTTCCGAAAAGCGGCAAATTTCTTTGAGAAGTAAGTACAAAACCTTTGATGCCGCATTATCAAAGTGCCGATGATTAAAACATAACTATGCATGCACTCAGTTTGATTTTAATAATTTTTTTATTCGCTATGTTTATGGTATTAGTCGTAATGCGCATAGGT